AGAGTATAAAAAAGAAAGAAACCATTGAAGAATTTAAATAAAATATTAATTAAAAATTAAATAATTTTAAATAACAAAAATCAGAGAGCCTCACCTTCACTTAATATATAAAAAAAAATGTATAAATTTTGTTTCTTTCCTTCTATCCGATTTAAGTATAGCACCGAGCTAGAGAGGCGGGGGTGAGAGGGGCATGCCGACCGTCGCCTCTTGCCTCCCGCGGGCTCTGCTCCGGCCGATTCCGCCGCTTCCCCCACCAGCGGTCCTCTTCTGTCCTCGGCTTACCCTCTCGCCTTCGCGATTCGCACCCTTGAGGAACTCTCGGCTGCCCATCCTCGTAGCCGCCTCGGCGGCCTCCTTTGACGAGCTTGATGCCAAAGGCTGGTCGAAGCCGCGATCATCCAAGGTTATTACTGCTCTTATTTCCCGTAATTCATTTGAAATTGTGAATTATTTCAGGTTTTTGGTTGCGTTTGTAGGTTTTACTGTTGCATGCTGCATTCTTGTGTGAAAATTGGCCTGAAAGTTTTAGATTATACAATCTTTGCTTATTAGCGAATGTGTAGATATCGAATGATCGAATTATCCGAGATTTATTGAGTAGTTGAAAAGGGGTTGTTCTTATACTTTTGGCCTGTTTAGTTGGGAGGTCTTATGTGATCTTATTAGCAAGTACACGGTGAATACGGTGGCAGTTTGAAGATTATGTTTGAGGGAGGAGAATGCGGTTTGCTGGATTTGTGCTTGTGCTAGCTATTTGAAGAAAACGGGCACGCTTTACTGTTTTGTTGTTTTTGACAGTTAAAGAGGGGAAGCCTGAAACTGAGAGATAGTTTATGTTTTTTGTTATTTCTATGTTTGCTCATTGACTGCTTGAGTTACACTGCCGAGGCATTTGATTATTGTTAAGATTGTTCTCCAAAAATTACTTGTCAAAACTTTTTGTGGAAGTTTGCCAACATCAAGTCATTGCAGAAACATGCCTTATCTCTTCCTGGAAGCATCCTCTCAAGCGAGAGGAATCATGCTAAGAAATTATTGTATGTGTTGTTGCACATAGCATTCATATAGTTATATATGCACTAAGACACCATTCATCTACTTATTGTATGCATGCAAACACAATAAAGACATGTTCATCCATTATTATACTTAACCTATGTGCCTATGTAGTTTCAAAGATGCAAATAGTCATTTATGTGAAATTATGTAGTATATCGTACACGGTTGTGAATGTGTTGCATGAAAAAAGGTTCATATATGTTGACATACAACGCATTTGACTAATTTTATATGCATTATTCTAGAAATTGTTTATAAACTATCAAACACGGTCATGCTTGTGGAAGTATCATTGCTTTATGCAACCATTAATCTCTTGTAGTTATATCTAAAATGGTGCTCTTGTTATCAAACAAATATGGGAGTTAATAAATCATTGAAAAAGTGATGATTTACATAATGTGCTATAATTTCATCATTCATGCATTTTGGTCAATGGACTTATCACCAAATATGTTATGACATTTGCAAAATCATATATGGTAAGGATCTCTGCCATTTATGTTTGTGGATTTTCTTTTTTCTTAATGATATTTTGTATTATTTTCTTGTAATCTTTTTATGCCGCTATATAGGCGTATTTATGCTTGTTCTTAACATGAAATTCAATAAAGATCGATTTATCATTTTATATTTCTTTCAAATATGATAACAAAATTTTTTTATTACTTCCTAACTTATTGTTCACGAGCATTTTAAGTTAGTGAGTTTGTCGTCAACAATTTCTCCTTACCTCACCACTCTTTGCCCAATTACATTGGTGTTGCATCCCCATATCCTGAATTTTTAACCTCCTGATCTCCTCCAATGTTGACAATAAGAACCATGATAAGCCGTCTCACCCCTAGGCTATGTTACTAAGACATCGCTACCCAATAAATCTCGTTGCCTCTTTCAACATTGGTCTTCAATCCGGCATACATAAAGTATTCTTCAGGCCATAATGGGTTGACAATTGCCCTTGTCTAAACCGTTGCCACTAGCACCATTTTGAGGAATCATTTGGTTCGTTATTGTCTTTTGACAATCCAATGCATTTCCCCACCATTGCATCCTTTATGAGTCACATCGCCATTTGAGTGATGACATTATCTATCATCTCCTGTTGCTCGACCTCTATTGACTTTGGGTTATAAAGATAATACAAACAATGTTTGATTCCCCTATACTATTTGTTGCCATGTTGGTGCAATAGCTAGGATCTATCTATATCTCCTACTTATCCTATGTATTATACATCTATCCTAGCCTTGATCGTGCCATACGTCTGATAGACCATCTAAATTTGATTGGGAGGGAATTAGGAAATTTCTTAATCAAGAGGGGGTTGTTTAGGAAGGTTCTTCATCAAAAGGATGTTAATTAGGAAATGTTTCCCTATTCAAGGGAGCATATATGGGGGCTGATTTAGAGGGGATTAATCATGAATTTTTTTCTAATTGAAGAGGACATATTTAGGGGCTGATTTGGGGGGGATTAATTAGGAAATATTTCCTAGGACAGATTTATGGGATGATTTGAGGGCTGATTTGGGAGGGAAATAATTAAGGAAATAGGAGGGAATTAGGGGAGGGATGTTTGAGTATTTGTTGTTTAATCGTTTGCTTTAAATAGGAAGAGAGGATTAGTGTTAAGATTATGCAAATTATTGTGGCTGATTTTGTTCTTGGAGTTTGGTGAATTGGGCTCTAGCGGTGTCTAGGGATTGGGAGAGATCGATCATCCTCTAGAATTGAGGATCAATTGTATGTCGCTATTTTCTTCCGTTAGTTTGATTATTGCAATAAAAACTGTTGTTTTTCCATTCTTTTCATTAGATTTGTGGATCATTCTCGCTGTTTTTGCTTCTCTTGTTAGGGTTTACTTGAGATCTTCAAGTATTTCCTAACAACATCATAGCACATGGTGCGGTGGTGCCTACAACCTCCCACCAATGTCACTGACCATGACTGCACAAAACACCCTTTGCCACCGATGCCCATGCATCCCTTGCCATCCATCAATGCCCGCCTTAGATCTAACATGTTTGCTTATATCTATAACTTTCAACGCATATGTTGGCATCCCACTCGTATCCCCTGCTTACCTATGATTGTGCCCTTGTACATGATCACACGAAAGTTCCACCATTGCCTCACCACCTTCGCCAGACCCAACATGCAATTTAACCATCTCCATCATCACACAACATGATCATACCCTTGCATGCGATCCCATGCCTATGACTTCCCACTAACATAAAAAACTATGGTTGTGCATTTCACCCTTTTCCACTAAGACAAGTTGACACCTATTTGTCACAAATGATGCGCATCTTTTACCACCCATCAACACTTTCCTCAAATCCAACATCTCTGCCTACCTCTATAACCCCCAACCTACCTCTATAACCCCCAACGCCAATGCTGACATCCCATTTATATCCTCATGCTAATATGTCATTGTGCCTTTAAACATGATCGTTCGCTTTTCCACCATATTGTCTTACTTCCGCGGCCTAGACCCAACAAGTGGTTGAACAATCTCCATAATTGTAGTTCAACCATCTCCATCATTGCACAACATGCTTACTCTTAATAGGTTTTATGTTGTTGCTTAGAATTCTAATAACTTTATATTGCTCCATTAAACCTTAATTGGCCTTATGCCCTGTACCCATCAAATCATATTCTAAGATGCACATTTGGATAATTCTTGCCATCTCTTGTTCACAATGCCCATCTACATTTGTATGATCCCTTTCCCAGACGTTAAAAAACCCCGTCTACTTGTTTTGTACTCTACATTATTTCCAACTCAAACTGTCATATGCTGATGCTAACCCAAAGTTGTTCTCATTGGCCACCTTAGAATTCTCAATCACCATTGGAATTAGAATCAGACCATCATCGATATCTATTTTTCTTAGTACTTATTGCCCACCTGAGAAATACCTTGATGCCATTCTTTACATAGTTGTTGGCTTCTTTAGGAAGTTGTTGCTATCGTCCTTATTTATGCCCATGCCCATTATTGTGCCAAGCAACACACTTGTGTTGACGCTTTTGGACTCACTTGCATTCAATCACCATAACCTCATCTTTTATATGCCCCTTACTAGCACTGAGCCTTTTGCCTAAACATGTGCAAGAGTCATAATTCCTAAATTCATGCGGTGGAGTGCCTCCAAATCTCATCTTCAATTGCCACCTCTATTATTGATAATGCCATCCCTTCAATTACCTACGTTTTCATGATTGATATTAATTCTTAATCTCTATCCTTTTCATGATTGATAATGCCAACCCCTTCGAACATGGCCTTCCACCAATGTCACCAACTTAAACATTTCGATAGTTTTGGTCTCCTCGTTGAAACAAAGTTTGACTCAACCATCTTTCCGATCAAAGAAATGCTAGCTTGTGCCTTCTCTATTTACATTAATGGCCTTTGAAACTTGTTTCTAGGCTTGTATTTTTACGGTTGGCCTTTGCAATGAAGAACTCTTCTTCTCATACTATCTCAGTATCTCGCCATCTTTTTTGCCACCTATATTCAATTCTCCAATGGACAACACCCATCGGATTAACATGAGTTTTGCACGGTGATCTCCTTTGTTTATTCCACAGTTGGTTTTGTGCCTTCTTTTTCAAACAATTTCAAGAGCACAATATTATTAAAGTTTGTCGATTTTTAGCGATCACGAAACATGTGTAAGAGCTGTAACTCCTGGATTCATGCGGTGGAATGCCTCCAAATCTCATATTCAATTGCCACCTCTATTATGCCATCCCTTCGGTCACCGACGTTCTCATGATTGATATTCATGGTTGATATCTATCCTTTGCATCTCAAATCCACTGCAGCACTTGCAAACATGGCCTTCCACCAATTTCACCGATTTAAATCTTTTGATAGATTTGGCCCCCTTGTTGAAGCCGAGTTTGACTCAACTATCTTTCCCAACAAAGGAATGCCAACCCGTGCCTTATCTATTTAATTATTTATATCAATGGCCTTTGAAACATGTTTCTAGACTTGTGATTCCGCTGTTGGCCTTTGCAATGAAGAACTCTTCTTCTCATACTATCTCGCCATCTTTGTTGCTACCTGTATTCACTTCTCCAACAAACAACACCCATTAGATCAACCTGAGTTTTGCATGGTCATCTCCTTTGTTTATTCCACAGTTGGTTTTGCGCCTTCCATTTCAAATGGTTTTAAGAGCACAATATTGTCAAAATTTGTCGATCTTTTTTAGCAATAACGAAACCTCGCCATCGACCTCTGTACCCCATTATCCCCCCATATGTATAGTTGACTTGGCCAATGTCTTAACCAATAACTCTTTGTTGTATTCATTGTCGGTCCAATCACATTTGCCACCTCTATCTACTAGGATTGACAATGACATCTCTAACTTATTGATTTTGTGCCGGTTGTGCGTATGTTGCTTCTATTCCCGTCAGGCCATCATCATATCTCTTATAGGGGTATGCATTTTATTTTATTTTTTTGATAAAATTGAAATATAAAGCCAATCCAATTTTAGTTGTTTTGGTTATTAAATATTAGGTCGATTATTGGTTGTAATTTTGATTTTTATTATTTTTAGGTTATTTTTTTCTATTTTTGCTTTTGTAAAGCCGATCAAATAAAAACTGAATTATATTAATTTCTTCAAATATTAGATCAATAAAGCTCATAATTAGTAAGTAAACAACAACAACAACCCACATAATATTAGCATCCTCATGCACAGACAAAATCTTAAGATCTAAAATCTTATTTCCAAAAATATTTTTGTTAATATTCTTTAAATGCCCCCATTTAATCCTAGAAAATTGTTTTACTTTATAATTAGTAAGTAAACAAGTGACAAAAAGATCAACATGAATACTAGTTACTTCACATGCCAAAACTGTAAATTTCAATAAAGATTACTTAGTATTCTTTTTACTGTACATTTATTTTAGCTAAAGATAATTAGGTTTATTGTTAAATTTAATTTCATTTTAGTTTATAAAAAATTGAAACTAATTGAGAAAATTAAAGTTCAATTTAGTTTAGTTTGGCATGAAAAATATTTTTTTACTACTAAAAATAATTAGTTTAGCTAATTTGTAAACCAAATCATCCAAATCTATCAAATGCACACCTATAGTCTTTCATCTTGTTGGACTTTGCCTATCGCTAATCTTTTATATCGACCACCTAGGCGCTTGCTCTAGATTATTTTTTGTAGGTTTATAGTTCTATGTGATCTACATTTGTTCTCCAACATCAATGCTTTTTGTTGCTACCTAGGCCAATGCCTCAATCATGCTCTTTTTTTATGCATCTGATGCCTCCATCAACAATGCTCATCAATGCCTTTTGTTAGCATCCTTGATAATTTCCTTTTGTAGCATCTCCCAAGATTGGCATAGTGCTATTCATCGTCTGTTTGAGGATATGTTCATTCTTTGTTTTAGGATATTATTTGTGTTGTCTCTATTGTAAATTTCGAGGTCATACTATTTAATCCATGTATTTTATTTGCATTGGACTCTCTTTTGTTGAATTTGCAATTATTAGACACTCTTTTTATGACACTCGCAACATCTTAGAGTAAATTTTTGACTGCTTCATCCTTTGTCACGATTATTTATAAAGTCGAGTTGACATCTTTTATGCCTCATTTAGTTTGTGGGTGAGTATTACTATAAACATATTATGACATATGCAAAATCATATATAGCAAAGACGTTATCATTTATTGCTGTGATTTTTATACTTCTTTATTTTCCCTTCTTTTTCCTATATATAGGCACATATATGTTTGAATTAGACATGCAATCCAATGGAGATCAAAATTTCTTTTTCTCTAAATGTCTGACAGGGCTAGTGCTAATTAATCTGAATAAAAATCCATTATTCCTGATGGAAAAAAGGAAGCTTCTTTTCCGTCTACACCTTATAATGATTCATACTAGGCTATGTTATTCGAAGTGCCTGCATTTTTAGTTTAATCAGCACTAGAAGTCTCTTAAAGTGGATATTAAGCAAAGCTAAAGTTGTAAATTTTTAAGATTTTAATTATTTAAAGAGGATATAATAATGATATTTTTAAATTCAATGTCACCCTTTTAAAAGTTATTTTAAGTGACTTATTTCTTCCACTACACCTTGAGTGTCACTATTTTTTGGTTTCGTTTGGAGATTCTCTTCCAATGAGATGCTTTCTCCCTCCTTTATAAATTTTGCAATCTTTGGCGATGAGATGCTTTCCCTCTTTAAATTTCTATATCTAAAAAATGTTAGAGGGAGGAGGAAGGGAGTTGTTTAGATGGATTCCATGGATGTGTTTTGACATGCTTTTCATGATAAATCAAGCCTTCCTACGACCCATTCATTTCTTTATTTTCTCTCTTCTGTACTTCATATATATAAGTTTGTGTTTGTGTGTGTGAGAGAGAGAGAGAGAGAGATTAGTGTTGGAGGAGTATGAGGAAGAAAGATAGATATATGATTAATTAGATTTAAGTTGCTCAAAGTGATTTGCAAAGAAAAAAATTTAACGCCTAAAATAATAGTCAACATAAACAAATGAAAAATGAACTTCATAAAGCTGACTCCAAATAATTAGGTCATGGCTGATAATTTGATGTGATCAAAATAATTAACAAATAACAACTACATGCCCTTACCAAACGGTTCTCATTACTGACTCTACCTCAATGGTTCCACCAATGATTTACCTTTTATATGGTTAGGGAGACAATTCTATGCAAAAGTTCAGGCTTTGCCTAACGAGCAAACATCGCTGCGAGGCAGTAGAAGTTTCCTCATCATTTGGAATGAATTTATTGGGAATGTGTAGTTAATGTGAATGGGTGATGTAGAGTTCGAGGAAAGTGGGAAGATATGGAGTACTCATTATTGGCAATGGAGGAATTACATGCTTTAATTTAAATACAAGGGTTTTAAGTTGCTCGCTATATCATGCTGTTATAGGCTTCAGAAATAGTAGGGAACAACTTTTGAAGTACTATTTCCACCAAGTCATGTTTCACACACATAATTCGTTATATTATATGATAAAGTTGAGCTGGTTGACGAAATTCTGAAACATCTTTACTTTTTTTTTTTTTTTGAGAAGTCTAGGATATCTAAACTTTGAGATAATCCTAGCGTCGCCATAGCATGGCACTGCTGTTTTAAAATGATTTGCACAAATGCTGATTCTTTGACTTTGTGTTGAATCTTTGAATATGAAGTGAAACTAATTAACTTTCTTATTCAATTAATAAAAGAAGCTTTTGCAAGACATGCAGAGTTTGTTACGAAAGTTTACATTTATTATAATGATGGAATATGTGTCTTCAGTATATATTGGCTCTGCTTGACAAACATTTTTGAATGGTCAATGAATTCATGTTTTTTTTTTTTTTCCTTTCAGAAATCCTTGCTCTCAGATTTGATTCAGGAGATTGAGCCTCTGGATTTGAATCTTATCCAAAAAGATGTTCCAGCTGTTACAGTTGATGCAATGAAGAGGACAATATCTGGCATGCTTGGGATACTTCCATCTGATCGGTTTAATGTCATGGTTGAAGCGCTTTGGGAGCGCCTATTTAAGTTATTAGTTTCTTCAATGATGACTGGGTATGCTAGCCAATTACTTGTTTTTTAACATTTCCCTGCTTTTGGCATATCGATAGGCTTACAAGGCAATTAAATATGCATTGGTTGATTTACGTGATTCTAAAATGATTTGTATTGGTTGATATATTTAATTGCTGATTCTTTAACTTCTTAAACATGTTCAAGATTAGATAAATAAATTATACCAATAAAACGAGCAAATAATTTGTGTGCAAATCACTGCTTTATGTGATGCCTTCAATGGGAAATTGGGAATAAGCATGAAGATTTCCATTAGGCATTGCAAAATTTAGTCATGAGTTATATTGCAGAACTTTATAGAGGTCCACCTCCATTCTTGACATCAGATTTTTAATTAAATTATTTTTGTTTGAATTTCAAATTTTCAATTTTATTTTTGACAAAAAATATCCTCTATTTCCATTGGATTGGCTTAGCCTTGAGTTTGACCTGCAACAACTTACATGGGTTGCATGTTTATTGATGTGTAGATTCACCCCTATTGTTGAAGCCACCCAATTCAAGTCAATGATACTCATCATAATTAGCAACTTCACGGCCTCATTTGTAGATTTTATTGGCTAATGCAAATAACTTTAATTTGCATGAAGTTTGCTCAAGTTCCCATCAACCTGATATCATAGTGGTGATGGTTAGATGGGTGAGTTGGGATTAAGCTATAGAGAAGTGAAAGTGATGCAGATCTTAAATGCTTAGGCAATGTTAAATTAGAAGTTGCACGCTTTTAGACGAGTGCAATATTAAATATTAGCTTGTAGCGATTTAAACAACGAAAGAAAATGAGAGAGGGGTGAAACGAGCTTAGGCCAAGTTACACAACTAAAAGTTATGATCACAAAATAATCAATTATTCAAATGTAGCATTCATGAAAGATTTTCAACAAGAAATTCCTACGTTAACAATGAGATTATTTGCTATGAGGAATCCCTCACTGACTCCTAAATTACTAGGCTTAGCGGAGAGAGTTAATAAGATTTTTAGGAGTCAATCAAAGCCACAAATAAAGATAACTTAGAAGATATGAGACTTGAAAGAAAGTTTACCTTCGTCAAGATGTAGGAATGGTTAATAGCAAAATATCGGAGCTTCTGGACAGCATTCAGGTACTTTCCGGATAGCGGGACAACAATAGTTGTTTGCTGAAACTTCGGAAGAGCAGCTTGGACCTTCTGGACAGCAGATATCGCCCAGGAAAAATTCTGGACAACAGTTTCAAAGACCTCGAAATTCTGGACAGCACTTTAGCAAGGGAAAAATTCAGGGTTTGGTTGACTAGTTTAAGTGGGAGGGGATGTGGTAGTAGCTGGCCATAGGGAGGATGGAAGTAGAATTTTAATTCCAGGGAAATTTGAATTTTAATAGGGGAAGGAAACAAATTTAGAAATCTGAAATTAATTTCAGCCTTAAAGGAGGAAAGTAATTGGGCATTGATTGATTGATTTGTGGAGCATTAATGGACATAGGAAGTAATTGAGGAAGGGTGAGAGAGGGATAGGGGGCGGCAGCCCTTGATTGGATTTGATTAGGGAATTAATGGGGAGATCATTAATGTGGGTTATTAGAATTGGTGAGAGAGGGAGGGGTCGGCCATGCAAGGGCGGAATTGATTGGGGATTTGAATTTCTTTCCAAACATAAAACATTAATTAAGGAAAGGGGATTAGAGGAAAATCTCTAATTAATTTTAGATGGAGGAGATTGGGGAGGTCTCTAAAAATAAGTCAACTTATTTTAGGAAAGAGTTCAAAGTCAAATAATTTTGAATTTGAATTTTGAAAAATTTTCTTATTTAAGATGTTTATTAATTTGAAAGTATTAACTAGGAATTTCAATTTTGGGAGGCAAGGGATTTGGGGAGATGAAACTAGCGGCTAGGGTTAGGGTTTGGGAGTGACGGCTAGGTGGAGGGGAGGACTCAAGGAGCCTGCGGTTTGGGGTGGAGGAAGGGTGGTCGGCTAGGATTGTGGAGGTGGTGGGGTTTTTGGCCGAGAGGTGGAGAATGGTGGAATGGCCGGCGGTTAATGGAGGAGGGAGGTGAGCTCTTGGCCGGCGGCAATGGAGGAAAGGAGAGGGGAGTTTAGATAAAAGAAAATAACCATGAGCCCGGATGCTTCCTGTGGCTGGTGGGTGATCCGTCTCCCTCACCTAGGCTTTCCACCAAAGCTCTATCTCAAAGCTCTCCAAGTCACAATGCAGGAAAAGTTACATAATATCATTCGTCTCAAATTATGAAGAGTGTGGCTTTAAATAGCCACATACAATGAGGGAAAAATAAAAGACCATCATGTCCTTAGGGCTTACACATACCTAGGCCCTCAAGTGAGGGTATAAATGAAAAAACAATAATAACTCATAATACAAAATAAACTAATACAATGATAATAAAAAATGCAGTGGTGCAATCGTGGTCATAGATCGACGGCCACGCCTCTGGTAGACCCTCCATGGTTGGATGTCCTCATCAGAAAGACTGAGCGACTTTAGGAAAAGTAAACAACATTGCTGATTGATTTAACAAGGGTGAAAGATAACGGTTAATGATTGCTTAAGAAATCCTTGAAAAAAGGGACCTTAATGCCAATTTCAGAGTTCAAACCGTCAAATAGACATATGTAAAAGACAAAATTAACTAGTTAGTATAATCTTATGAAAGAGCCGAGTTAGATGTTTTCTTGTATAAGCATGTGAATAAAATATTTACCTGAGGCTCAAAGCAGATGCGATGATAAGAAAAACTGATTGAAAGTTTTAGTTTAGTTCCATAAACCCCAATCATTCTGAATAACACGTATCCCTTATCTCACCACGATTGCTTGCTCAAAGTTAGCCGATGTTATTGTTGATACCATCATTGCTTCTTTTCAAGATAAGTTATCTACTTGGGGAAACTGTACCTCCACGAGGTATCACTGCATTAGTCTTTTGCTTTTTGTTTATGAGGGATCAAGGTTGGTGGGTTAAAACAATGCATATCTGTCAGCGCTTCTCAAATGAGGAACCCATCTATAATTTTCTTATTTATGATGATGAATTCCTCTTTCCTGGTTTTAGTTTCTTATTTGATAGGATAATCATAGTTTTTCATTAGGGGTGTCAATATTGAACCAGACCCGAAAATTTTGGGTTTAGGTTGACCCGAACCTGAAGCGGGTCGGGTTCGGGTTGACCCGAAAACCCAGGAATGACCCGAAAAAACCCCTGCCTGCATTGCCTGCCCTGCTTGCCCACCTGCCCTTGCTTACCCTGCTTGCCCGCCTGCCTGCGTGCATCGAGCCAGCCGCGCCATCGCGTGGCATCGCCTCGCCTGCCGCACCATTGCGTCGCATCGCTTCGCCTGCCCCAGCTGTCGAACGCCGCTGCCCGCTAGCGGCTGCCGAAGCGGGTTGGGTCGGGTTGACCCGAACCCGAAGCGGGTCGAGTTCGGATCCGAAAAACTGACCCGTATGCAAAAATGCGTCGGGTTTCAACACGAACCCGACCCGTAACCTGAAATTGACACCTCTATTGATGCGAGCAAACTAGAAAGAAAAGATAAATAGGAGAACACTAGGACAAATGAAAACCAAACTCCATTCAATCTAGTAAGCAAACATCCAAACAAACACCAAAGCAAACGAAAAGTTGAAACAAACGAAACAAAATTATAACATAAAAATACTATCCTCAGAACAATCGGCAAGCGATTTCCTCACATGCAACGAGAAGTAGGAAATATATGATAAAATGCAAAGGCTTGCAAACCGAGGGTCCACCACAGCAAAATGGTCCAACGTCCAACCAAACTCCTCAGGCAAATGTCTCCCAAATCAGCCAACAAGCATCACCCAATAGCTCAAGAAGAAGGATACAAGTGGAGTGGAACTTGCGTAGGGAATAAGAGATTAGAAACCAAGACGAAATAGAGAGGAGGAAGATATGGAACAAGCTCTCAAGCTTTTCCAAGAGAAGGAACCCTTAGGTTTTTAGTAACTTATCTCAAGTTAATCAACAACCTCTCAATGACAAAAACTTCCCATATATATATATATATATATATATATCTTCCCATATATATATTCCCATATATATATATAGAAGAAAAGGGGAACCAAACAGCCAACATCTACCTCCAACCAAACCAATCAGGTAAGGGGAAGAAGAAGGGCAATAGATACCACAAAACAACTCCCAAAAATTAGCACAGGAAATGGGTAAGAGAAGCCACAGGAACACAACCAAGGAGGGACCCGAAGAGCCAACATAGAAAACGGGTAAGAGAAGCCATGGGAAAGCAGCCAGGGGGAGAAATCGAAAAACCCACACAGGGAATCGGAACCAACACCCAACAGCAAGTCACGGGAACAACACAAAGAAGAAACCAATGAGACACAAGAAGGGGAAGAAATAAGATCCACTCCACATAAAGAAGAATACTTTTTTAAATTTATGAGCTAAGTAGAGCAATTATTTCTCCAAATAATGAGCTAAACATCAGCTCAAGCTTTAATGAACTGGCACCAAGTAGATCCCAAGATCACAACTCAAAACCAATGCAGCCAAAGCCCATCCTAAGAGCAGCCAAAGCCCAAACCGAGAAACAGCAAGCATCCAAAGAACAAAAGGACCCAAAATGCTAGCAAACCCAAGCCTTTCCATGCCCAAGCACATCCTACCATGATCATTGGATGCTTTCCATCATTTGATAGTATATAAAAAAAATCATAAAACACAACTAATAATGTTCAAATTACATCAAAATATAAATAAACCAACATATGAATGCATCATCTATTTTTCATAGCAACTATTAGTCTGTTGTTGTGCTGTGTTACATTGCTGATTCTCTTACGTGTTGGAAAATAATTATCTTCTGCAGAGTTTCCGCAGAAAATGCTAGTATTTTAAGTTTTTCATTTTTTTTGCAAAATGATTTATGCAAATGAAGTTAACACCTGATGCGACCCCTTAATAAGAATGAATGGAGAATGAAGATTCATAAGGCGCCCAAATAGTTGGGATAAAGCTCTGGTAAGGGTGTTGATGATGCCTTAAAATTTTGGAGTTATTTTTCTTCTTTTGGACTATTAATTACCTTTCTTTTTTAGATTTAAATGAGAATTTTACCCTTATCAGGACACATTGGAGAAAAATGATTCATGTAGCCGACCCCACGTAGTGTGATAAAGGCTTGATATTTTTGTTGTTGTTGTTGTTGGACTCATAATGTTATTTTTTACTCGAGAAGTTTTGAATCTCTTTGTATTTCAGGTATACTTTACGCAATGCTGAGTACCGCCTATTCCTTGAGAGGAAGCTAGAAATATTTGGAGATTTTCAAGATAAAGATGGGCATTTGGAAGGAAATGATATTGGAAATGTGGTGGGGAATGATTGTGACAAATTACTTGATAGAAGTCCCACACTGTTTGTTGCTGAAAGGGATCTATCCAGCTCAGACAAAATAGATGAAGTACCACTGTGTGAGGATATTGATTTGGAAGGCTTGGGGGAAATGACACCTCAAGCTAAAGAATATATTCGTAGCCTAAAATTTCGTATATCTTCCATGGAAAAGGTATTGCCATTTAATGTAGATTTTCTTGATTGAAATGCCTTGGAGGCTTCTGCAACAAAATGAAATGCATATTTTTTCCAAAGAGATATATTTCAACTTTTGAGTCCTTTAATTGTGTTGTGCATATGAGACAGAAAAAAATTATTTTGTTTCTTTGTTGAAGCTGTAATTTGGGGGACAAAGGAACTTCAATTTTTGAACCTATAACCCAAAAATTTATTTTTTTCGTTCAGCTAAGTAGTTCTTTATTCACAATGTTCTTCTGTTATATGTAACTTATAATCTTATTTTATGATGTGCATCATTCGGGATTTTATGTATATTGTGGTCCAGTTATATTTTGTATGATTAGCTTAATCTACAAGTTCTATGTTTAGTTGTTTACTGACATATCTTTGAAAGCTAACCAATCTTAGGCAATTCAAAATGATGCCATGAAAAGAAATAGCTAATGATCCAAAATGGAACCCCTTGAATTTATAGTTTAGAAACCTTTGCACAATTTGCTTTGGATTGCAGTGAAAGTTTTTTAAAATCCAGAAGCAATAGGTGAGCTATAGGCCGGTCTCATGATAGAAACTTTGATGATGCATTCACCAACGCAGCCATCATCGTGTATGCTCTCAATTGAGGGGAAGGGAGGAGAAAAAATAATGTTCGTGTGCTTTACTCAATTAGTTATTCATAAATAAAAAAGTCACGCTAACTGGATGGATTAGAACTCTTGGTTTAAACATGAATATCAATATTAATCTTCTTATTAATTATCACTCTTTTCCTAACTATTGAGCTTGGCTTTATGAATCTCCATTAATTCCTATTAAGTGTTACATGAAGTGTTAAATGTATTTCATGCATGTCTTTTTGCATAATTTCGAGCCATGTTAATTCCATCATTTTTTCTTCATATTCCTTTTAACACCAAGTCTATTTACCTTCCTAACTAGTGGATATATGATTCTCTCCTACATAAAACTAAGTCTAATTTCTACCATATTATCTTCAATAGATGTTATTCCCACCATTTCTTTGATATAATTATCTCTTATTATGTTGTTAATTTCACATGCACTCCCCTTAGCATTGTCATTTTTTCTATGTTTTCCTTGATTTTGAGTGGATTATTGGTGGCTCACTTCCCTTAGCATTGTCATTTTTTCCATGTTTTCCTTGATTTTGAGTGGATTATTGGTGGCTAATACTTGGATCCATATTGGCTTGCTAGTCTTATTTAGCATTTATAAATTTCACTTATTACTTATAACTATTGAGCTATTTCATCATTTAACCATCAAGTTTAACTATTAAAGTTATGTCATGTTGAAATAATCATGAATTATTGACTAGGACCTTTTCATCTATAGTAATCCAATAATTTGTGGATAATAACTATCCATCTACAATAATCCAATAATTTGTGGATAATAATTTTCTATACAACATTCAATTTATGTTGTGTAGTTAATTATGGATTATAAACTTAAAGATTGGTTTCCAAATATATTTATTCACATATTTATGTATAGCTTCTTATGTTTTCTTTACACATAGCAAGGAAGCAAAATTCAGTTATGAAATATTATATTTTATACCATCATCTCTTCTCATTCTAATTTTCACTATGGTATAAGAGCCATTAAGGTCCTATGCTCTTTGAGACGAATTGATCCTTCAACATAGAACTTTCCTCCAAGTCATCGAGTTCGGCTCAAATACTGAAAATCCCCTCTTCGTCCAACGAGAGGGCAAAATATATGTGAATGATTCTTCTAGAAAACTATGGTAGTTACCATGAAGAATTTAGTGGTCAATAAATCAGCAACTTTATTCCTTGAAAATTCAAAAGAGAACCAACAACAAATCACAATAGCAATTCTCTCCCTGTTTCAACAAACTAGATAACAAACCAAAGAGAACGAGCTATTCTCCCAAAAGAAGCTGAAGCTTATTCTGGAACATCTTCAAAATAGGCTTGGCTGGTCAAAAAGGTAAATTCTTAGACTCTCATTGTAAATAAGAAGAAAATTATCATTTAGATATTAAACTCGGGAGTGTCTAATTATACGATGGGAGATAAAATTTGATTGCTCATGTTGTCAAAATTATAATATCCGGACTGTTGATGGGTTTCTATCAAAATTCAAAAGTGCTCTAAATATCTATGTTATTTTCTGAAAAGATTTGACACAAAATTCTATGCTTTTAGGCCTAACCTAGATTATAACTTACTATCAATCATCAAATTACTCGAGAAAAAATTATTTTTGTAATTTTTCATCTCAGCTTCGTCACTTTTAGGACTTGAAGCCGGGAAGGATGATTGGAGGCTTGTTCAAGACTCTAATTTATAAAGAATATTCCTTACACAATTTATGGGCTCAAGCGATAAGCTCAACTGCTCAAGCAATGGACTCAAAAAGTGTGTTGTATATCACCAAATCCCCACTTTAAATTTCAAATACTGCAAATAACAAATGTAATGGTTAACTTTAGAAATATTTTCTTGGGCTCCCAAATTTTATTTAACTTGCATAAAAAACATTTCAAAGACTTTTAGTATGAAATTTAACATATGGTTAAATATTGTATTAGTTCATATCCCAATCAAACCTACCAATATTCCCAACTTTTTTACTTTAGTCTGCAGTTATATATGGTGATCACTTAAGAGTTAAAATTTTATATGGAGCTAGATGGTTTGTTTTCTCCATCTACAGTCATACTCATCTCATTTGGGTTTCCTTCATGAATGAAAATTCTAAGCGGGATAAATTTTTGAATATTTGAACCATGCGATCCACGTTTAATTTCAATCTAAAATTTACATCCTAAAAATTGACATTGTCAAAGAGTACTTCAGATTGATTCTCAAAAAATTATCTTTGACATTAAGGAATTATCTAGCAAAAGCTCTTTTCTCATCACCCTCAACAAATTGGTGTTACTAAAAGGAAAAATATGTACACTTTAGAGGTGGCTAGATTACCAATATTCTCTACAATTATTCCTAAGTATTTTTGGGGAGAAGCTGTCCGAACAGTTACATATTTCATTGATAAGATGCCCTCAAGCATACTTAAATTTCAAACTACTATGTAAACCCTTCTTTGTTCATATCCTTAGATCAAAATTATGTTCCAAAAAACTATTAAATTGCAGATATCCTCATGAAGGCTTTACCCATAATTAATTTTGATAAAATAATCATTAAGTGAGACATGATTAATATATATCCCAACTTGAGGGGGGTGTTAAAATAATTCTGAATCAGCGGCTAACACCTTTCCATTTTTAGCAACAATCTATTGACAATAGCTTTCCATTTACAATAGTCTCTTAATCTATGAACAATAGCTTTCAATCTACAATAATCTAACAATCACTGAACAGAAACATTCCATTTATGCTATGCAGTTAATTATGGATTCCAAAATTAAAATTTAATTTTTGAGATTTGTTCTGTTCCTACATAGTTATTTCTCCACCAATTTATGTCCTACTTTTTTTTTATTACATAAAACAATGCAATGAATTTTAGTTATAAATATTTCATTTTCTTCTCTCCTCTTTTCTCATTCTAATCTTCAATGTACCATCATTTATATTTGCATATTTTGTATAAAAAGGTACTCAAATATATTATCCCTTGGTTGTCAGTTCTTTTGAGTGATACTTGCCAATTTCACTTATCAGCATTCCCTATCATGTGTTAAGTTTTGTTTTGCGATTCTCGCAACCCTTTATTTTATAAAAAATTTCTTTAGCAGTCTAATTTTCACTTTAATAAAGGCGGCACCTATCATAATTATGTCATACACTAATAGCATGATTAGGCATCTTTTCTTTGTTATACTTTGCAAGTATATTATTAACAAATACCATAAGATATGAACTTAATGTTGGCCAATGATGCAAACCCATTGATGAGTGTGATTTATTTAGTTATCCATAATTGTTTTTAGTACTGCTTGCTGCTCCATTACGGATCTTTAAAATGTCACATGCTTTTGGTAAAGGCTTTCTCCCTTCTGCCTTCCAAATTAATTTTTGTGGTGCTAAATCATATGCCTTCTAATGATCCATAAAATTTTATAAATACCTTTTCGTTTCCCTCTTACTATTCCATTGTTTTCCTTGGCATTAAAAATGCGCCCACCAGATCTTCTTGGTGCTTAAACATGTAATGCATAAGTGTTATTAAGATTTCTTAAATTATAAAAAAAAAATGTAATGCATAAGTGTGGTTAGGTTGGGTAATTTTCAACATAACCATACTTGGCTATGATTTTGCTTGCCTTCAGGATAAATTAAATTCTATCTTGAGCGGGATTTCCTTATTGTTATCCGAGAACAGTTGGAAAGATCAGGTCCAGGCAATGAATTTGAAACACACACTAGAGATATCAGTTCGAACTGAGATTATTCAAATGATAGTATAAGCTTGAAGAATGCCCCATGGAGTTGTTGCAGCCTGTGAATTGCAGATATATCAGATGTGCAAATTCATCTTCCTCTTTTAAAATTTTGAACTCCTTGAACTAGTTCATTGACCTACATGTATCTTACTTATTTAGGGGCAAATGAATCATCTCTAGATTTTAAAGTTCTATAATTTTTTTTATTGTTATTTGTTAAAAGTTTGGTTGTAAACCTTAAGAACCTGAAAAGCCAATGACATTGAACAATTTTACTTTCTGGTATGAAATGATGATTTTATCTGCTGATGCTTATATACCAAATATTCTAAAGCCTTGGAGTTAGAAATAAAATATTTACTGTGAATTTTTTAAAACCATTTTGAGAAGGATATGTATATTTCCTTGCTGCATTGATAGCAAAAATTTTAATATTCTTGTTGGCTTTCTTTTCCATATGCCATCAAACATGCTAAATCTGGAATTGGGATAATGATATAGTTCAAATGCATGGACACTATGTCTTCAAAATATTATAAAAACAAAATGAAAGAGATAAATGCATGGGGATAATTTTAAGCTAGAAGACTGGGCTGGAGTAACTTACAAATTTAACTAACTTTATAAGCTGTTCTAGATGTTTTTGTTCATTTGCATTTTAAGTTCTTCTGAACTTACTCGCTTGAATCACTTTTCTTGCTTCTGGGTTTAATTTACTTTACCAGGAATTCCTTTTTCAAAATAAAAGCACCTCAGGTAGAGCTTAAAGTTTTAAACTTGATTTGTTCCGAGCTGACCAACTCAACTTGTATATTTTCACTTATATGAAGATTTGTTGTTTAATCATTCTTATTTGTGTGCAAACCAATGGTATTTACTCAGGACCTGCATGAGGTGAACAGGAAAAATTCCGCTCTACAAATGCAACAGTTTGTAGGAGAAGAAAAGAATGACCTCCTTGATTACCTTCGATCGCTACAACCTGAGAAGGTTTGCACCTTGTATTGCTTGTTTTCTGTCCATCAATAAATGAATTTATGCTAAAACTCTTTGATGCTGCTAAAAACTTCAAGTCATTTTGTGCAATCAATTATGTTTAATTTTGAAGAATGCGAGTAAATGTTTAGCAGAATTAGGACTGGTTGATATACTTGCTTTTAAATGATCATCTACAGTTTTTATTATCCCCCCCCCCCAAAAAATTTTTTTTTTCAAAAAAAAAAAAAAAAATAATCCTTTCAAATACATTTAAATTGAGCTTGCATTAATTTGAGACTTATTCATGCTTAATTGTTATGCAGAATTTTATTGTGTTTGAGCTTAATTTAAATGATGCATCTGACAAGATATTGCCATGCTAGTTGTTTAATCTAGATTTGCCTTGTGGATGATACCCGATTTTACTAACAGATTCCTCTGGCGAGCTAAGAACTTGTTAGTAAGAATTGAGAGTAGAGAGAGTATAGAGGTGGAGAGTAAGCTAGCAAAATCTTTACTATCTCAATCAGAGAATATAGGGATCCAAAAATTATGAAAAAAATATTCAGAAATTATCTAAGCATGTCTAGAATAATTGGGTGAAATTGATTTGTAAAACGGACTTCTAACGGTCCCAAAAAAGCGAAAACTAAACTTGTACCAACATGTGTCAATTTTTTAAGAAATTACAGCAATGTCTATGAAATTAGGGAAAAATACTATAATTAGAGTACAACAATATCTATGTTATGACGAAGACAATTTGTAATTTAAATTTATAATGTCTACTGAAATAGATTTTTATTGTTGAAAGCAAACATAACTTTTAAAATTTAAGGGTTTTTACAAATAGACCCGTAGTCGGAGAGTCGTTTGATCGGGTCAACGAATGGCATAGGGAGATGGAGGTTGCCTTGTCGTGAAAGACGAACAGAGTTGTTTGTGTGGATAAAGAGTCTTTGTTTGCGTGGATAAAGAATCTATGGGTCTGATAGGAATAACTAAATGGAGCGTGAAGTTCCCGAGGTAAGTGTTTTTATGTAGTTGAGTATGGCGAGCTCGGAGAAGCATTTGATTCAGTGAGTGGAGATTTATTTGCTTAGTGAGGAATTTCTTAGCCGTCCAACATAGTGTAAGCTCCCAAGAGGATGTGGGCAAGTGATGCTTGTTGTTCTCCTTTGAGGGATTTGCTCTTGAGAGGAATAACCTTATCATGACACGGCCGCTAGAGGTGTAAATGAGTCGAGTAGTAGTCTTATCGAGCTCAGCTCGTCAATCAGTCTGTCAGCTAAAACTCGAGCTTGAGCTCAAGTCGAGATCAAAAGGCAAGCTCGAGCTCGGCTCGTCCCACTGTAAATGAGCTGGAGTCGGCTCGCGAGCCTCCGACGTCTTCTTCAGTTCAGTCGTCTTCCTCGCACGGTCCGGCCATCTCGTCTTCGATCCGGTCGTCTTTCGTCTGCCTTGAGCCCAATGCCGTGCTATTGAGTGTTGACATCGCAAAGCGGGAAGCGGAGAAGATGAAAAGGTGGTGGAAGATGAAGTGTGAATAGCTATAGTTTATTTAGGTTTTTTTTTTACTTTGGGAATTGAGCTTAACATATATATGCGCTCAATTATAAGCTCGAACTCGACTCGTGAGCTCGATGAGCTTGGCTCGCGAGCCCATAACGAGTCGAGCTCAAGCCGGTTCACGAGTCGGCTCGGCTCACTTGCACCCCTGCCGGTAGCTACATATCAAAACATTTGAAAAAACAATCATGGATACACACCAGTGAATGTATGATTTATTACTACATCATTGTTGTTGTTGCTATTACTCTATCCTCCATATTTAGCATCATATTATTTATTTTTGTGTGCCAGTGCATAAGAAACAACAATTGTGTCAGTCTCCATTTGATTTGGGCAATTATACGCAGCACAAATCAGTTCTAATGCAATCCAAACCTTCCATTGTCAAAACCTTTAATGCATTAGATTAATTGTGAAGGTGCTGCTAGCATTGTGATATTGAAGAGCATTTAAGGTTTCGGTCTGGTGATGTAAGTTCATAGGCTTAGCAACGAACTTTGGACTAGAACATTGGGGCTAAAAAAGAGCTTGAAATTGCTCGAAACTTGCAAAATTTAACTAAACTGTAAATTAACTTGAATCAAACTTGAGTAAATTTTGAGCTCCACCCTGACTCCATTGATTTCAAGTGTATCTCAAAATGATTTCTATTTCAAGTATATTAAATTTATCTCGGAACTTAGTTCGTTAAAACTCCCTCGCCGAATAAGAAAAGCGAGTGGAGGCCGAGGCCGAATTTTTGGAGCCCACAAGATTTCATTAGTTAATCTGAATTACTTTAGTCTACGTTAAGTTTGTTAGCAACGTGTTTGCTATTTATTAGCCGTGAGCAGTTTTTTTAGTAGTTTTTTAGCATTTTGTTTGTAGTTTATATTTCTTCCATTAATAAATATGTGAATTTGAGTCATTTAAGATTGTTTATGGAATGCATAAATTTTTTATTTTAGATGTAAAGATTGTTACTTTTCTTTAATTATTATGGGATTTTGATCCTTATTCAAGTGATATTTGAAGAATTCCAAGAGAGTTTATCTCCATTATATACGTGAGTCTTATTTTTTTGATGACTTATTAGTTATTTCCCTTCTTGGTTTCCTCCTACGTACCCATCCTGTTACTTTTTCATAATTGTTGGAATTGAGATTGTGTTCAGTCAAATTAATTACAATAAGGCTTTTATAGATTGCATGAAGTTTCAATCTTATGCCTGGCTTTCATTATCTTTGATTCTAGTCTTTAATTTTTTGTATAAGGTTATATAATTTCTATATTTGAATTGATTTCTATATATACTTTTTTTATTTTATTTTTCAAAATTAGTTAATAGTTGTTTTGGATTAATAGTTGATGTCCTATAATATTTTTACATGTTTGTTGCGTTATTTTCAATATTACTACTTGTTCTATCTTGCATTAGAAACCTTAGGTAGATTTGTCTTCTAGACTTTAATATAGCCTTCGGATATGTGCTAGAGACTGAGTTAGTTTATTCTTTCATTTGAACTTAAAATTGAGGAGTTAAAATTTGAATTTGAAGCAATATTTGTGCTTGAGATCATATGAACCCAAATCAAAATTAGAATCTTAATCTATCCTTAAATTTTGAATGAATTATATCCACTAAACTTAATGAATCAATTAATTGTAATAATACAATTCTTGATTAATTATGTATTGTATTCATCTCTTCATTTACTAATCAACATGATATTCTTTTTGTTTTTGGTTCCTTGTTTTTAATTTAGTATTTTATAAAATAAATCTTTTTTGGCAACTCAGATTGCATCAATATAATCTTAAATTTATTAATTACAACTTCCTCTAAAAAATTTTAAAATTTAAAACTCCATCTATCCGGTTGAATCTAAAAATGCATATTCCTCATGATTAATCTTTAAACTATTTGAATTACTATTCTTTAAGAAGTTGCTCGTTTATATTTCATGCACATTTTGTTTGAATCAAACTTGTATGTGGTTTGCCACCTATGAAAGAAGAATATAGATCTAACACATTAAATTTTAAGTTTTCTTCATTTTTCTCCTTTTACTTATTTATAGTTTATTCATTAGCAAGTATATAAGAATTTCTTAGTTAATCCTACGTGTATTGGTAAGAGATGACATTGAAGGTCAATTGATCTGAGGATTGGCTAAGATACAACAAAATAAACCTACTCATCTCACTTTATATGGAGTTTATGAAAAATTCCTATACTAATTCTTAAATGGATAATACATTAGGATTACTATGTGTTAAGAGAATATATGGGGATTTAAAGATAGATTTTATGAAATTGTTATTAGGATGCCAATGTTGTATTGATACGATTGTTGGGTGGTAAAAAATTGCTGTTGGCTAATTTGTAGTGTGTTGGGAATTTCATTGTTAATTTTGATGTGTTGTAAACTAGGGAATATAAATTAATGGATAATTATAGTAGAGAAATAATTTGAGTAACATTTGTTGAAAGTATGGTACTTAAAAATAGATGGTTGTTTGAACATTTATAGTGATGGGTAAAAAATGCATCTATTTGGCATGAAGATAAATTTAGTGACAATGAATTATGAAAGAAAATGGTGGAACTTAAAAAAGTAATTTGAATAGAAGTTGTTAAAAATATTTTTGAAGAAAAAAATTAAACACTTTATGAGATCCTTTACAACAACAATAACAACATCAAGCCTTTGTCCCACTACGAGGGGTCAGCTACATGAATCCTTTTTCGCTATTGTGTTCAAAAGAAACAACTGGAAAATGAGTTTTTATTAATTTGTTTCTCAGATTGAGCTGAGTGAGCCAATTTACTAGCTTCATTTTTCTGTTCAATTCGATTTTCGAATAGATTTTGCATGTTTTAATGTGAGCTGGCTTGTGGTTGGCCTTTTTTTTTTTGCATTTTCACTCCATCTAATTGATCCTTTTGCAGGTTCTCGAACTTTCAGAGCCCACCCATTCTGAAGTGCTAGAGATCATCCACTCTGTAGCACATGGCCTTCTTGCAACTCTCTCTCCCAAGATACATTCCAAACCTTCTCCTCACTCTGATAATGTCCCAGGTAGTGCTTCAAGCATAGGGAAGGATGACTGTGCAGAACTATTAGAGAATACTTCCATTCATTTTCAGCCTCTTATTACTGTCCCACGCGATTACCTTGCACGCTTACTCTTCTGGTATTACCCTCTGCTTCTCACCTGTAATCTACGAGAAATTATTAGGTGCGGAGTCCGGACGTATCTCTACGTCCGGACATCCACTTAAAATTTGACACGTTGAGTATACTTTGGTTGCACTTTTTTGCGCGCTTTACCTGCACTTTGATTGCACTTTTTTGTGCACTCTACCCGTGCTTTGGCTGCGCTTTTGGTGCGCTTGGCTTAAAGTTATGCGGATATATTAAATATATAAAGTAAAAAATAAGTTCAATTGAATATCTACGTGTCAACATTTTATCTACCGTCCAGACTCCGCGCCTAATAATTTCTCGTAATCTACAGTTTCAATTTCTGCTAAGTGCAAACGTAATTGAGCCATGAATCTTTCTTTACAACACTTTCAGGTGCTTGTTATTGGGCCATTACCTCCGAGGTCTGGAGCATCGCCTGGAGTTAACGCAGCTTTTAACAATTGCTGGTGATCCCTAAACTACTTTCTATGATCTTAATTATTTGATCTGTTCTATGAGCCTTCTAATATCACATTCCTTATGTTTGTAAACGTTACACTTAGCTGTTCTTGTGCTGCTATTGTATTCAGAGACAATCTTCAGTTTCTTTGCACAACTAGGCTTTTCAACTCTTTTTCTATATTTGAAAATAGGTGTAATATATTTGTTAAAGATGGATGGAATAATTATTTTGTTCTAAGAGTTTTAGGATGAAAGTTGGATTATTCTGAAATATGTTGTATAGTGCTGCTGATCCACACTTTGTGTGTTGTAGATTACACCAAACTGTTTGATTTAGATTTGAGTCTTGAGCTTGTGCTTGTAAAATAAGGATATATTTGGGGTGGCTGCAGCGTTTTATAAAATTGATTGTGAAGCTGATGTGGAGAAAACAATTTCATTGCTACGATTGTAGAAAGCAGAATTTAATTATAGAATTTTTTGAAAAGCTACGAGAAAGCAGTAAGAAAGAGTAGTCAAATTAATTTTGATTGATATCTGGAAAACAAGGCAGCCAGGTATTGGAGAAATTATTATGTGTGCAGTCACCGGATGATGTTCGGAGGTAAATAAAGATGCACTATATTTTGCTGTGTACAGTTGTGTATTGGGTGACGTAGTACATCCTGATTCGCTTCTGGCTGGTCTGGTGACCGCACACAATTATTTCCCCTCGTAGTGGCCCTAAGTTTATCAAAAGCTAACTGCAATTACTGAAATTAAGGTACTTACTACTTAGATACATGGGGAAAAATTTAGGAATGTATATTTAATGTGAAGGAGCTTTGAATCTATTGTAAGACGAGTCTAATATAATAATTGATTGATTAGTTATGGATTAGTGTAATTTTTTAAATTAATCTTTTATTTTAATTAGTCGCTATTAAACTAACGGTAAATTTTCCTCTCTAGCTATTGTTAAACTAATACGTCAAGACATTTTTTTCTTTTTTTATTTAGTATTTTTTATAACAAATTAAAATTAATCATTGAAATAGATGTCATGTATTTTCCAGGCTGAATAAATTGTATAAAAAATTAAGATATTTAAATATAAATTATATTAAGATTTAAGAATATAATTTTTATTTTTTATTTTTTGTCCGTTTTAATGCAATTTTATCCAAATGTTTTTACATATTTTTTTTCCCAACTGTGACTGCTTTTATCCATTAGAAAGGTGTAACAGGACCCAATAAGATCTAATGTTGCAATCTTCGACCCAAAGAACTGTTAGGACCTAATAAGAACGGTTCAAAGTAAAGCGTACCATATGATTACAAATGAGATTGTTTTATACTAATTAAATGATTACAAATGTATATATATATATATATATGACACCAAAAATCAACTTGATCCAACATGTCCAAACATATACAAGTTGAAAACTTTCAAAATAAAATTTGGGATCATATGAACTCTGATTTCAGCAAGCTTATAGTCAAAATGAACATCTCAAAGAGATAAACCCAAAAACACCAAAATCGGTCCGAGCCCCCCGAATGGGTTTGAATCAAGAGCCCGAAGTGTATTCGAAAGGTTCAAAGCATTAATTAGAATACAAAATAATACCCAAATATGACATGCTTATAGTCAAATCGAGTGACTTGATGAGTAAAATCCAATGAGCCCAAGATCGTTAAACTCTGATACTGTTAAGACACTTAAACACTATAAAAATGTTCTATGATCATGGGAATCAATACAAACAATATGTTGGAGGACTCAGAATCTGCCCTGGATGTTATCCATATTTACGGGATGTGTCACTCACGAAAATCTATAAATCAACCCTCACTCACTACATGAAGGAGACCTCTTGGTGGGGATTAGAGAGAGCTCTAAGGCTTCAAGAGCACCAACACCACCACCGGTGAATCTCCGTCGACTGCCGCCAGACTTCCACTCAGTTGCTGATCGGCGTCGGACTTCCGCTCAGCCATCGCCATACTTAAGTACTATAGCATCCCCCAGTGCCACCTCTCCTCATTCATGCTGTGACTTGCTTGGGAAGGAAAGGGAGCAGTGAGAGGAGGAGAGAGAAGAAGAGAGAGAAAGCTTTTCGGGGCTTTTCTGTTCGTCGCTTCTGTTGTAAAAATTATCTTATTTATTGTAAATAACTATCATCTTACTTCTATTTTAGATGATTTTGATTATATGGATTTATATCTCCTAAATTTATATAAAAAAAAAAATGTTATTTCCTAATTTTATAAGTTTTTACTGTATAACTTTTGATATGTTATAGATTGAATATTTTGAGTAATATGATATGATGAAATGTGATAATTATCTGATAGAAAAGATGTATCAATTAATATTGAATATATGATGTGAGAATCTCATGTGATATCCTCAAGATTTATATGATCCACTAATGGGGAGTCAATTGATGGAAGTCACACAAAGCTTAAGTCTAATTGAGAGTTATAAAGAATCAAGGTGAGTGATCGACATGATTCAAGTGGAATTATAATGAGTACATTAATTGAGAGTCATAAGGGTGACTGATTAAAATTTATAAGTGCATGAGCAAGAAATCCTTAATATATCCTCAATTATAACTAAAACATTTATAAAATATATTTTTTACCTATAACAGTAAATTTTTTTTTTCAAAAATTATTATAAGTCCAAATCAGAAAACATATTCGCCAAAACTTATATATTGTTGTGTTCTAGTTTCACTAATTTTTTCAAAAAATTTGGACACCAATGAAATTTTTTAAGAAATTTGCACATGAAGGTATAAGTAAGGGTTTTGGGACTGTCATGTGTCTGTTTTGCAAACAGATTTTACCTTAATTTTTTTTAAATAAAATGAGTTATTTATGAATATTTTTCTATAATTTTTAAATTAAAAAAATATACATTTTATACTGAAAATTTATTATAATGTATTAAATGCCATTTTTCTCCTTATTTGTTTAATAAAGAAAAATTAGGAGAAATATGAAGAAAAAGAGAGAGAGGAAACTCAGGAAAGCTGGGTTTTGGAGGTCATGGAGTCATTTTTTCTCTGTTGGCCCAATTAAAAAATTTGTTCATCTTGGGATATGTTATATTTTATCTTTTTCAATTCTAAATATTTGATGTTTTTAAATTTTTTTCAATCAATTTTATATTTTTGTTACTGAAATATGAGGATAACTTTATTTTGGTATAACTTTTACTGTGTAATTTTTAATATGTTACATAGATTGAGATTATGGATATTTTGAATATATTCTCAAACTTTTTACTATGTGATTAAAAAAAAAAATTCCCTATCCAAAAATTTATTTTCTATCTAAAAATAATGCTTCAATTCAATTAAAGCTTCATAGTTATGTTTTGCACAATATCGAATAATTTGGTTATATTTTGAAACAATGAATTTTTGTTTAGTAGTATTTATGTTGCTTACTATTTGAGATATTTTGAATTTAATCTAATTATGTTTTGTTTAATAAAATGCATCAAAAAATATGAAAGGCAAGTGATGTGATGTGAAGTGACATGATGTGATGCTATGATGGCGCCATTGGATGGCTAATGCGGAATTCTGTTTATGTTGATGCTGGTAGGCGACCGAAGCGGGATTCTATTGTGCTGGGGACTGCAGGCTACCAATGTGGATTTTGTTAATGAAGCTATAAAAATATATAAAAAATTAAATTGAGAGCCATTCTGATGAAATGAAAAATTGCTTATAATTCATTTGGTTTCAATTTCAGCTTCTGTTTTAGTTTCAGTCTCATTTTTTCTTGCATTACTTTTAATTTTGCAGCACATTATTTTTATTTTCTTTTGATTTTAGTTATTGATTTCTATTTATGCTACAATAGACTATTGAGTCTTGTTAGCTTATTTCTACTTATGGTTCCATTTTAAGCCAGGGGAAGGGCAAGGAGTGAGTTGAGTAATTTGGATAGCAAACTTCAATCTATGTCGTAGGTATGTTTTAGTTAATTTTGATTTTTTTTTAAAAATTGACTTTTATTTTATTATTCTCTATTGTCAACCGCTATTGTAAATAGATTTTAGATTTTATATATTTTTGATGATTTATAGAAAATCATTTTGAGATTTAGTAATGTTTCATTTATATTATATTCAGTAGTTGCTCTGTGTATTATATAAATTAAAAATTTTATTTCAATGCTTCTCCAATCAAATCTTAGGGTCAGTTTTAGCACAATCGGACACGGTGTGACCTATGTGATATCGAGTCATATCCGATCATGTTATGACATCCTCTTATAAATATATGAATACTATTACTAATACTGATACTAAAATTGTTACTAACATTAATATGAATACTGTAGGTGAGTACTGATATTGTTCCATAGTATTAATATTGATATTCATATAAAATGCTTATTCATAAATTCATATGAAAATACTTATATAGATATTCATATGGAATACAAACATCGCTTACTGTTACTGATTATTGATACTGTTAATAATAAGGATCAATGTTACTAATTCGTGACTAATGACGTAATTTATTAATATATGTTTTGATATAGAAGGATAAATTGATACATATAACTAATATAATTAACAAATATTTATATAATATAAATTTTATTGTATGATTAAAAGCATATTGTTTCTCTTTTCATTGCATTGATTTCAGTTGAAAGAGTTTGATTACTTGCTGAGCTTTCACGTTTAGTGCGTGGTTTTACAGATTTACAGGGAGGATAAGGATCTTGTGGCATGAGACATTTGACAACATGCATAGTTTTCTTTCAACACGGTTTAATTTTATTTTCAATTTCTTTTGTAGCTTATGAAAGTTATTGTATATATTGTTTTGAACTTTAGAGATTTTTACTGTAAATGTGGACTATATAAATGTGAAATTATGTTTTTTTGTTATTACTTATTTTTTTTAAAGCAATTAATAAGCTCTGAATGTTAAGTTGATCTGTTCGCAAATGATTGATCATTAGTTGTTAAATGAAAAGATAATAAAGAGTCGGTAAGAAAATAAATTCTTTACTTTAAATCCTAGGGTGTGACATTAGGTATTTTATATGTTATTTTAAAAAAAGAAAGATGCAAATATCATCAAAATATTATTTATGTTTATATATAATACATAAATAATTATATCTATTTGTTATTTTAATATTTAAATCATATCAAATCATATGCATAAAAAATATGCATTTTAATTCAACAACAACATCAAGCTTTTATCCCATTACTTGGAGTCGGCTACATGAATACTTTTTCTCTATTGCACCTTATTAAAAATCAAATTCTCATTCAAATATAATATAAAAAGATCATTTCTAATACTTTCTAACCAAGCCTATTTAGGTCTAGCTCCACCTTTCTAAATATAGACTAAGGCTTCGTTTGGGACGACTTTTTTACCGCTTATTAAAGCAGTTTTTTAATACAAAAATTAATTTTTTTTTTTACTGGAAGCTGCATGAAGAAGCATTAAGAAAGCTATTCCAAATGAAGCCTGAATCTAAAACATCTACTTTTCTAAAGGCTGACATTTTATGTGACCAAATGATATAAGAAGACTATCTCTAATCTTATATGTCACTAAAGCTATGCTAATCTTATAATGCATACACCAATTTCGTATTATGTCTCTAAGAGTGCAGCTATTCATCAAAAAAAATTAAGTATTATTTAAATAATTCAAATAAATTAAAATTAGTGATATATTTAATATGATTAAAAATTTAAATACTATCTAAATATTTATAAAAATGTATATGTTAAATAAATAAATATAAGAAAAATTGTGATATATGTAAAAAAAAAAGAAAAAAAAAATAATGAGACTATTTGGTCATGAAAGATCTAATTTTGTTTAAACAAAACCAGCACGTTTTGAGAGTTAGGGTTTCCACCGACCAGCTTCATCACCGAATCTTCATGCGATAAATCGCTGATGCGGACGGGTTCCCGTTTCGCCAATTCTCGACGGCTTGCTCTGGCATTTGAAGCATTCTCGCTGCGTACCAACGAAGTTTGGCACATCCGCGTCGCTTCTTGGCCGGCCGTTGTGCAAATCTTGTAAGTCCTTGTCAATTCTCTCAGGGTATCATACCTCCTTCCATCGTGTTTCTTTGTGATGGGTTCCTCATTTTCTGCAACATTCTGAACAGTGAGCAAATGCTAGTAATGAAGATTTCGAAATGTTTTCTTATTGCATTTGCTTAGTGTGACCTTAAGTTACTTCATAATGGCTGTTTCTTATTTCTATTGAAGTTTTTAGTTGTTGAGCCCTGCGTTTATGCGTTTCTTGTTTAATTTAGCGGATAGTATTGTCTGTGTTGTACTTGATGATTATGTTTTCGCCTTTTTTGTTTACGATTTTTGGAAGAAGAAATGATTTGTAGGTGATTTATGGGCTTGCATGTTGGCCATGAAGATAGCATCTTGTCCAATGAGCTACTAGTCTATCGAGAATGTCTGTTATCTTCCATGCAATGGAAATTAATATGCTTGCAGCCTTGCATGTTTATGTCTTATTCACTGGAATCTAAATCATTTGGAATCGCCCCTTTTTTTTTGAAGACTTATTATAGCCCGGTATGGTTAGTGTCACGTCCCATATCCTGCGTCATGCCCGTGCTTCATAGATTGGAGGGTGGACTGAGGAAGGAGTCATGCACTACTTCTGAGGAGAAGTTTCTTGGACTGAGGAAGGAGTCATGCACTACTTATGTGCCTTATTCTCATAGTGATGACATATCTCTAGCTATAGTTTTCACTTAGAAAATTTTTTTGGCTGTCTTCTTGGATAGCTGATGAATGATTTTTTTAGCCAGTTGATTGAAGGGCTCTCTAAAAGTTGATTTTTGAGTATGATAAATAATACTTGTAATCATATTTTTGTTCATAATCATACTATGTATCTGTTATTCTCATTCACAAAATGATGTGAAACCAAATGTGCAGGAGCTCATTAAGGAATTTAAGAACAAGTTGGCAATGTAATTCCACTCAATAGCTTATTGTAATAACAATGCAATTCAATAAAGAATCTTAGTTTTCCATTTGCTTAGGCGAAGGAGCACATGTAGATTAACCAAACCTAGTAGATAAGCAAAAATAGTAGTAATACTAAGAGCTATTAACCAACAATCAACAATTTAATAATGAGAGCTTTCACCTTTGGAGCCCATACGCTCAAATAGTCTAGGCTTTAGCGGCAGAAGAGTCTCCACATTAGAATCGAGGTCACTCCGAGGAAGAAGGAACCTAAGATCGTCGTTCTTGGAAAGATGGCCGGAGTGGTGGAGGAAGATGGTCTTCCAATGATGATCCAACGTCCCTTTGATCTTTGCTCGTCGATCACGTCAACTAATGCGTATTGCTTACGGTCGATGTAGTCTTCAACGGTGTCGTCGAAATCAAAGCCCACGTCAAAGAACGGCGATTGGGGGATGTCGACTTGATCTCGATCGTCATACACAAATCCAAAGTTCCATTCGGGTTCAGCCATGCATCCTTGTCGGGAGATGAAGGAGCACCGTTGGAAACAAGGGGAAGAGGAGGGGTGGAGGTGGCGGCTAGGTGTGGGAGGTTTAGCCGTGAGCTAGAGGAGGGGGGAAATTTAGGAAAACTGAAATTAAATTCAGCTCCAAGTAGTTTTGGAGGGAGATTAATTTGAAATTTCAAATTAATTCATTAATGACTAGGAGTGTTAATTGAGGAGGTAATTGGGGCTAATTTGGTGGAGCTTTTAAATTTAATTTGGGAGAGAGAAAAAATCCATTAAAGGGGGCCGGCCACATGGAGAGAGGGGAGAACACAATTGTCATAAGTAGAGTGAGGACCACAACTTTAATCAAGGATTTAATTAAAATTTGAAATCTGAATTGATTCTCATAAATAACTCCCAAATTCAAATGAAAATAAGAGGGAATTTGAATTTGAATTTCAAACGTGTGTAACTCCTCTTAATTAATTTCCCAAATTTAATATGCTTAATTAGGAAAGTCATTAAGAGAGGGGAATTCGAAATTCAAAGGGGAGAGCTAGAGGGGGCCGGCGGCAAGGGGGTCCAGTGGGTGGCCGGCGGGCTGCTGGCCGGCGGGTGGGGGTTTGCAGGCCGGCGGCCTGGGCGGCTCAAGGGGAGGCGGCGGCAAGGGGTGAGGGGAAGGGAGGAGGGGAATTTCTAGGGATTCGATTTGCTATAAATCCACTCACCTCAATTATCTTCAATCCAGATCTCCACGAAAATAGCTTGGCGAAAATTTAGAACTCTCGAAAACAAAAATAGTTTGGCGAAAATCTAGAACTCACAAAGAGATCTATCTTCTCCGACGAACTCACTAAGAGATCAAGGAGGGTTGAACTCACAAAGAGAACATAAGAGACAAATTTTCATTCATCAAAAACTAACTCAAATACAATGACTAAGCCTATATATAGGCCAACCGAAAATAAAAAGCATAAAGACGACATTGCCCTTGGGCTACAACAAGTACTAACTCCCTCATAGGGGTACAAATGAAAAAACATGAAATATAAATGACATAAATAAAATAAAACATAAAAAATAAAGACTATGAATCAAGACCGTCGCTCGACGACCCCTCCGATGGTAAGTGTGCCGAAATCTCATATGGATGTCCTCATCACAAAACTTCGGGTATTTTCGCAGATCATGATGTGGAAAAATTTGTAGCATGTCAAAATTAATAACTAAAGTTTTGAGTTGGCCCTTTGTTTGAATAAAATCCATTCTATTTGTAAAACATTATGGTGCACAAAAAAATGAACACAAGCATAAAAAATATGACTTAAAATTGACACATCACGGTGCAAGTTTTGTAAAATGCATCATATAGATTGGTTATGAATGATTTTTGAAAAGCATTATTGTGGAAATTCTGAAATCAAGTTAGTAAATATTGCTGTCCTAATTCCATACATTTAGGGAACTATTCTGGAGAACTTTAGTCATCATTTACTCTATCCAGGAAGGCAACCCATCAGCAATACATGTCTTCCAGTTATAGCCGCTGAAACGATACATCTCTTATTATCACAACTCAATTATTTACCTTCCTTCTGACCGCCAGCCTCAATTTTCCTTCTGAGGAATAAATTTAAAATATTAAATTCACCATCTACTTTATTGTATTTGATTAAGTGTATTTCATTCATATTTTTCTTCCTTACTCTAGGGGTTGATTATGGATAATTTGTGCTCTTTAGTTTATTTTGAAGTTCATGCCCACTTTTTGTAATCTATTTCTCTTATAAATATTTGTGTCTCTTCTACGCATTGTAACAGAAGAATATGTAGCAATCTTCTCTCATATTTTTCAATATTCAGAGACACCCTTCTTTATTTTTCATCCTTCCCCATTTTGTCTTCTGTACTTCCTTATCCTCACAGATTCATAGGATTCTAAGGCTTTCTCATCCTTCCTTTAAGGAATTTTTATTTTAATCATGATGATAGTTAAATAAAAAATGTCCTTGGAAAGAAGATCCACCTATGGTGCCACGTTCTATCATGAATTAAGATCTCATGGGGATACTGGCATCCAAGAAACCTTTTTAAATCACTAATTATCCGATTCAAATCAATTTCTTATGCACTAGAAATCATCATTTGTGTAATTGCTTGAAATGATATGGGTTTGAATGCCTTCAATGTCAAAAATAGAAAATAATGCCACGTAAGCCTTAGTATGAAAATTCAGCTGGCTCCCAAAAAGGAGTTTTTATTGATTTTAGCCTTTGATTAATCAATTAATTATCTACTATTAAAGATTAGAATATTGTCTTGTAATTGTATGAAATTTATAATATTATCCTTTTTGATTATCTCGAGAAGGGTTGATTTAATTTCTCTCCATTGTTGAGAAGCTGTTCCATGTTTAGAAACTCAAAGTTGGTCAATTTTCATGTTGCCTGCCTTCCATCAATGAAATGCATTTACAGCACGTTTTATTTGGTTAAAAATGTAGCCGGGGTGGTATTTTTATTTGGGTTTTTAGCTTTTTGATTGGAAATCAGTATTTGAATGATGGCTTTTGGATTAATTTTGGCTTTCTTTTATTCTCCTTTCTGTGAGCTGGCCATAATTTTAATCTCGTTACTACATTTAAATCTATGGTTGTGATCAATAACTAGTTATGTCGTTCCTTTAGATTTATGGCTTATTATTAAAACTTATTCTCTGAATTCAATTTGTTACAGATCTGAATGATCATTACTAGCCTTTCCTTTTGCCATGTATGGGCTTGCCATAGCCTAGTATATATGAAATTATTTCCTGGAAATGTTACCAACTTACTACTTGTATGTTAATGAACTGCTACTATTTATAAAGTTGAGACATATGTGACTTCAATAAGCATTCTCTTAATTACAATCTAGTTAGCTCCAGAAGTTCAGTAAACACCTACGACGAAACTAGAAATTAAGGAGTTAATTTTGATTGAAAATGTATGCCATATTGGATGGCCTATTGCAGGAAAGCATTAGAGAAACTGACTTGGAAATTATTGTGTTAATATGGATCTGCGTCATTATTTTTACAGGTGAATTATTATTTTTCTGGCAGCTTTGGTGCTGAATTTCACAATTTGTACGGTTGTGCAGGGAATAATTGTATTTATGAGTAACTATTTTATTGTATCCCTTTGTGTGAGAAGGCCATCCTTGTGCTCCGAATCAAAATCTTCCTATTCTTGTATTCAAAATGTCTTAGAAGATTGATCGTGCCTTTTATTGGAAACAAAAGATTTTGAGGATCTTTTACCTATATAGCACGAGCATATGGCTTCTCCTGAAAAGCAAGATGACAAAAAGAAAATCAGTACAAGGGCCAAGAAACACTCAAAAACTCAGAAGCAGGATTCAAAGCCAGGCAGTTCTAGAATTAAACTCTCAAAATCTGGCATTTCAAGCTCTCAGAAAGTTGGGCCTAAAAAGCAGACTGCCCAAAATAAGCTCATTCCTCAGTATGAAAAAGCAAATATGGTAAATGGCGCAGCAAAAGTTTCTAATAAATCTGTATCCAAAAGAAAGAAATCTCTTCCTAAACTGAAAGGAAGCTACAGCTTAAGATCATTAGATCGAGGTAGAGTTCTTCGATCAAAGTTGAGTACAGCAAAATGTAAAACTACTATGAATCCAGGAAGCAATTCAGAAAATTTGGTGACAAGAAAAAAGAAAGTTGGGAAGAAAAAGATAAAAAAATCTGGTCAGGACGAGCTATCTCGAGTAAAGAAACACATTAGATATATGTTGAATCGAATGAATTATGAGCAGAGTTTGATTGATGCTTACTCTGGTGAAGGCTGGAAGGGACAAAGGTTTGTATCATATATTTTTGTACTTATAACTTTCATTGGTTATGCCTTCTTTTTCTTTAAGCTGTGATTTATATTTATACATTTTGTTGTGCTATTATGTTTAATATTTGTTATGCTGTTATATTTCTTTCTTCGTCTCCTTAGAATTAGTTCCTTAGACAAAAATATATTCATGTTATTCATTTGTTGATAATCACTGAGATTAGGGTATTGGGGAGCAAGGCCAACATATTTGTTAGCTGAATTTAGATGCCTTTATGTTCTTATGAAGTATTCTCTATGATATGCCAATATTTATATTTTTTAAAATTGCTTAATCTCTAACAGCGTATTTTTTCCCGTTGAAGTTCAAGAGTTCTCTAAATGCTTATGTCTAACCAGGAATCAGGATAATGTAGCACATTTATTTAGATCCATGTTTAAAACGGCTATTGAGTTTTTTGAGTAATTGTGTTTAATCATAAAGCGAAATCTTTAGTATGGTCTTAAGAATCTAAAATGCTATGATAAAAGAATCTAAGATTGGTCATCTACATAGCCATGATAAGAAAGGTCAAGCTGCTACTGTAGGTACATGTTTGAAGTAAAGTTTTATTGTGGGTGCAGGGCCAGGTTAGGTGCTTAGGTAATTTGTTACTTTTGGTGATCTATTATTTTTATTTGCTTTTATTCAATCATTTTTAATAATTAGTCTGATTACGTGAACTTTGTTATTCTTAACTTGCAAGTAATAATGAAATGTCAACATTTATCATAGAGATTAGGTTACTAAAAAAGATGAACTATGCTTCAAATGAGTTATGTCTTACTACTTTCTATTGTATGCTATGTTTCAAATGGTATAATTTATTTGTATGTTTAATTCTGATTTTCTATCAAATTTATAAGTTGCTTCTAACAATGTGATCCCAAAGTGGGTTGTGGAAGGCTAATGGAATCGATAAGAATTAGATTAGACAAGGGAATAGATATTGTGGAGGATTGCAGACCTTATAAGATTGTATGTCAAAAGTGGAGACTTTTGTAGACCTTGGATTATATGATTGATTCAGAAGTACGAATGATTGAGGCCTTGAAGGTCTCGCTAGGTAAGTTTAGGTGTTGATCAATATGGTTTGATTGAACTAAGTGACGTGGGATAACTCTTATTAGTTGATTGAACACTACTAGAAGCTTGGTTAGAAGTTGCTTTAGATTTGACCTAGGCTTGTGTGGCTGCCTAAAGTTGAATTTGGTCGGAGCTACTTAAAATTTTAAATCTAATAGATTGTGTGAAGAGGACATCAGTAGGAGATTTTGGCGCGTTTATCAGAGGAGACATCAGAGATCAACGGCCACGATCAGGAGCCTTTACTTTTGATGCATTTTATATATTGTTTATTTATATTTCAATTTTTTCCTATTTTACCCCTGTGGGTAGTTAGTTTGAGTTGTAGCCCTGAGGCATCTCAGTCTTTTCTTTTCTTTTCTCTTTTGAGGCCTATATATGAGATCCTTAGTCTTGTATTAGGGTTTACTTGATTAAGAAAATTCCGATTTCTTTTTAAACTTTTTTGTGAGTTATTGAGTGGTGAAATCCCAAGGTGTGGGCAAAGCAACACCCACTAGTCGGTGGAAGTGTCCCCGACTCGTGGTTCAAGTTATTCTCCTTGCATTAAGCCGCCGGATCCCCTCATTCCCCTTGATTTAAGCCGCATGCCACCTCCTCCCCTTGCTCCAACCGCCGAACCCCTCCAACCACCATAGCAGTGGACCTAGCCCCCTCAACTGCCGGCCAAGTCATTTCCCAAGCCCCACCGCCGCCACCCCTCCTCCTCTTCCCCTTAATGGTGATTTCAATCATCATTATTAGTTACCTAAATTATCCTAAATGATTTGGAAAGGAATCAATTCAATTTTGAAATTCAAATTTGAATTTCAAATATCTTCATAAATTAACTAAATCTAAATTAGAAAAGTTCCTTAATCTGAATCTAGTTTAATTTTAAATTAGATTGGATTTAATTATCTTTTTCCTAATTTAGACCCATGAATTAGAAAGCATTAAGTTCCCTCCCAATCCTTTCCTTTCCCCATGCATGCTGTCGGCCCCCTCCTAGCCTCTCTCCTCTCTCCACCTCAATTTCCCTCAACTTGAATTTGAACTTCAAATTTCAAATCCCAAATCTCCTTTCCTATTTTACTAAATCTGAAATTAATTTCAGATTTTTTTACCTTACCCTATTGGAAACCCTTACCCTAATTTCATAAAACAAGTCTCTTCCCCTCCTAGGCCGCCCCCTCCCTCTCTCTTCTTTCCTCTTGGATTTTATCCCCTCATGAATACTATTCCAAGAGAAGGAGAAGACACACATCCTCTCCCACTACTCTTGCAAGTGGATGGCAAGTACGATTCTCAAGGGAAAATAGATATTCTTCAATCACCATTCTTCGACCCCGACTGGGAGATAGAAGACACCGTCGACTGTATCCTATTCCACTTAGCTAAGACTATCGACGAACAACTACCCTCTGGACAGTGGCAAATCATCGGACATCCACCCACGTCTCCTCCTCCGTCTACCTTCCTGTGGGTCAAGACCCTTGGCGTCCTATCACTTTTGTGGTATCGCTAAGATTGCTGGCTTCTTCTTCCCGCTAAATCTCTTCAAAGAGCGTGAGTGAGGGAAACTCGAGGTGACTTTTCTATATGTTATGTGGTGGATTTAAAAGTTTCATCATTTAAGTTTATGTTTACATTTGAAGTTATTTTAAGTTCTTGTTATTCTATTGTGTAACCGATTACCGTAACAATTTTGATATCCTTAAATTCTTAAATCTCATATGGTGAAACATTAGTTTATGGTTACTACGCTTATATCAAAATTTATTAATTTCTACACAATTCCTAGTTTGTTTTACATCACTGTGAGGATGTGGCACCAATGTTCGGCAGCTATGTGGTAGCTTTTTATCTTGCACTCATGTATCCTTTCCACTTGTGATGCTATGCCGCTTAGGATATCTGTGAAGGTGAAAGTAGAGTAGCATTACATCTGACAGGAGCATGTGTTCTTTTTGGAAGTTTACTTATGACTTGGCAACTATGTGGTAGTAGTGGTGGAAGACCCAATAGTCTTTTTCCACAATAACATCGAGATTGATATGAGTGCGAGGGGCATGGTGGTGTGCTGAGTTTGGGCATGAAGGCCTGCATTCTTTTCGGCATAGTTGCTCTATGTTTATGTGAGCTTGAGCTTGTGGTGAGCTATTGCCAATGGAGATCAGGATGGAAAGAGCTTTAGCTATCTATGAGTTGTTTGAACTTCTACTTTAAGTGTTGTGAGCTTTAGTTGTTGGGGGAAGGGGGTGAGACCTAACGTGAAATATCCCTTATACCATGAAAAAATAGTCTAATTTACCCCAAAAATGTAATACCAAACTATAAGAAAGAAAAGTAGTAGACCAAAGCTAATGTGGATAGAAATTTTGTAGATTGATTTGCACAAGTCATGTTTGGAGCCACATGTAAGAGAGTGCTGATTCATACAGCTAATCCCAAATAATTCGGGTAAGATTAATGCTGATGAACCATCCCAGTGGTAGTTTGGTTGCTAACTGCCGCCACTATACTACTATTAATGCAACTTTTACTAGTAACACCATTACTACCACTACTATTGCTATTATCAATGCTACTTCCCCATCACGACAAATACTATCACTGTCATTATCACTACTACTGCTATTCAACTACCACCAGTTCTATTGTGACTAACATTGCTTCCATGTCTATGACTATGACTTAATTCCATTAATACAACGACCACCACTACCAATGTACCACTACTAGTATGAAGAGTTGGAGGGAGTTTTCCCTTTTAGTTTGAATCCCTTTTAGTTTGTCCAATTCAGAATTTTCTAGAATTAGCTATGAATTTTCAAAGTTCAAGTAATTAATGAATTATCGAAATTGTTTAATTAATGTTTTATTTTGGAGATTTTGATCCAAATTAGCTCTAAACCTCTTGGAATCACCTCCAAAGGTCAGAAATGACCTAAAGAGGTGCTCCCAAGTATTTGGGTAAAATTTGAAATTTTTTAATAATTTTTAATTATTTAATTTAATTAAAAGAGAGATTTTTAGTTAAAATTAAATTAAGGTTCAAATTGAAGTCCAATAAAGGGGTTTTAATTTTCTGAGATTAAGGATTAAATTCTGAAGAGTTTGATATATTATGAGTAATTTTTGGAGTTAATTTAGATTTATTAGAACTTTTTGAAATTATCGGGACTTAATTAAGGGATTAAATTAGGGTTTGTTATTTAAAATTCTTAGGAAATTCTAGGAGGTTTAAGATGTCACTAAGTCAATATCTTTAAAATTTCATGTCAATTTGGGATCTATCTTAGCTCTAGAATTTTTTTAAGTTCGCCAGACGCGTCCTTAATTATTATCCTTAGGGTGTCGCTACGTTAAGCAGGTTTAAATCGAGTTTAATGACTAACCCTTGGGGTAACATAAAGGGATAGGCATAAAAAAAAATCAGAAAACAAAACACACCATCCCCTTAGAACTTGGAGAGCTTAGGCTAGATGCTCGTGCGTCCTATACATGCAAAAGACGACAAAACAAGTAATTAAGTGCGATTAACGATGCAATTGGTGAATGATTTGAACCTAATCATCAACTAATATCTTCCCTATGAATGTTATTCACAAATACAATTTATGCTTAAAATTCCATGGAGTGGATCTCCCAAAATTAGGGTAATTTAATATATATATATATATATATATATATATATATATTCTTAAAATTATTAAAATATATAATAATAAATATGTAAGTTTAAAAATAATATAATTAAAATAATTTCAGCTTCATATTCATGAGAGATCCACTGGTCACCAAACGGAGATTTCAAAATAATTTTTAATTTCAAATAATTAATATATATTATTTATTTAAATAATAATAAATATAGAAGATAATTAAATAATAGATAAATAAATCAGAAAAATAAATTTTAATATCTGAAAATAATATTTAATTAAAAATATATAATTTTCTGAAAAATATGAGGCATGATACATATTTTTCCAATTTAGAATGAATTAGTTATGAATTATTAGAGTTTAAAGTATTTGAAAAATGTTTTAAAATAATTTAAAATAACTAATATTTAAAAATAATTATTATATTCAATTAAGTTAAATATTAAAGCTTTTGAATTTAGAATAATCTAATTAAAAATAATTTTTCATGAATTTAGAAGATAATTGAATTTTTTAAATTAATTTAATAAGATTTTTAATATTTATAAAACATTTTTTATTATTTATTAATTAAAAGTTGGGATTATTTAGTGATTAATATAATTTGAAATACAATTAATATTTTAAATTAATCTTATTTTTAAATTAAAAAGCACATTTTTCTGGAAATTATGATATATAATACTAATATTTTTAATTTAAAAATAAATTTAAAACAATTTTTAAAGAAATCATATTAAATTTAAATTAATTTAAGACTAATCATTAAATAATAATAACGGTGTCAGATATACGTGGCACGCTCTGATTCCCTACCCCAAACCGCGGACGCGTTTTCCAATCATTGGCAATGATTGCGCGGTGGCGCAATTATTGCCATTGATTGACAAATGGCGCGTCGACTGACTTATTCGAGTCAGCAAAGCGCTGCGCCGTCGGATTTTCCGCGGTTTGGATTGATGGTCTAGATCACGCAAGACGACGGGATTAATTGCGGGATCGAGAGCCGCAGAATGGTGAGATCTGAACCGTTGATCGTAAGATCAATGGTTCAGATCGTACGTAACACAAATGTTACTTAAAGTGAGCCCTAAAATGATAATTTGTTTCGTTCTCTCGATCCACATGATAGAATTCGATGAATTTTTAAACATAGGTACTACGAATGAAGAGCATTCGTGGGGTTCAAAAATCACGTTCTGAATCGCATTGTGCGAAGAGTTATTTAAATCTAAGTGTCCTAATCTTGGGTTAGCTTTATATCTCAATTTAATGGAAGGTTTCAACCGTATAAGAGCTTGTTGCACTTGTAGGCTCTCCACGCTCCTAGTTTTAGAAGAAATCGCATTTCCAAACACTGTGGATCGACGTGAAATCGCCTTGGAGTGTCTAGGGTCTCGGGTCCCTGGAGATCTCACCGCCGGTGGCTTTGACCGACAGGGTTTGGCTTGGGGGAAGTGAAGGGAGTTTTGAAGAGCTCCACACCAAATCTCAGGGGCTGAGGAGATCCTGTGAGAAAGCAATTGCAAAAGTCCTCCTTAAGATGCCCTAATTCACCTATTTAAAGCCTTAGACCTATCATGGACGGCCTAGATTGAATCTAGGATGAATTAGGAGGGAAATTGAATGAATTTGGTTGTGGTTTTAGTGGAGAGTTCAATAGGAAGGCTTTAAATGCTTTAATTAGGTTGAATTTGATCAAAATAGGCTAAGTTTGACCAACCAAGGCTTGGGTTGACCAAGCCATGAGTTGACCTGCTCAACTTGGTCAAATGAGTCCAAGGGATGGGAGGTTTGAGCCTAGGATGGGTTTGAATTGATTTAAAATTGGATTAGGCTCAATAGGGCTTAATGAGTCAATCTGAGTTGACCCAGGGCATGGGTATGGGCCCAACAGGTCAGGCTTGACCTACTGAGTTCAAGGGAAGTGAGATTTGAGCCTGAGATGAAGTGGAATTGATTTAGAATCAAAGAAGGGGGTTTGGGTCAACCTGGGTTGACCTAGTCTACCAGGTTGACCCAGGGTCTGGGTTTGGGCTCAGCAGACCTGGTTTGACCCACTGAACACAAGGGAAATGGTCTTGGGGTCTGGCTTGGTCAATTTGACCAAGTCAACCTCTTTGACCAAAGGTCTGGGGAAAACAAGGTCAACAAATGGGATGATGACAAGGGTATTTTGGTTTGTTAACATCTTCATGTAATCTATGAAGCAATAACACTCTTTGTGGGTCGCCATTTAGAGTTGGATATGTCATTTGGTTCTATGTTTTAGGTTTTCTATGAAGTTTATTCCGCTTCTTCGATGGTTTTTGGATTCTTTTTGCTCGTCTTTTAATGCATTGTGAGAATTTGTTGGACTCATAATACACATAATCCTTTAATTATAAGAATTTTGATTTGTCATATTTATGTTAGAAACCTATTATAATTATGTAGTGTGTGTTTTTGTTAGACTGGTCCAGCCTGTCCATACAATACCGGCTCACGAAGATAGAGGCAGAAGAGCTAACCAAATTGCCAATACCAACAGAGCTTGTTTAGGAAGGATTTTTGAGGGAGTTAGGAGGAAAATTTGAATGTAGGGACTGTTTAGAGTTAGGAGGGAAATTTGAATGTAGGGACTGTTTAGAGATTTACTTTTGGATTGTATGCATTAAATAGTTTGTTTTTCTAGGGTTAGAGCATCTTGAATTTGGCTGAAGTTTGAGATCTCTTAGGTTTTTGGGCTCCAACGGCGTCTAGAGATTTGAGAGAGAGAGATCCTCCTCTCGAATAGAGGATCAATTGTATCTTGGTATTTTCCGTTTCTATTTCATCAACTAATACAAATTATCTATTGTTTTCCTGGTTTTGTGTGGATTTTTGTGGAGAATTCTCGCTGTTTTTCAAAGATTGCTAGGAATTTCTTGAGATCTTCAAGTGTTTCCTCTCAGTTTTTAATAATATATTTATTCATCTAAATATTGTGTTTGTCTGTCAAGTTCTTGTCTCGTCCATATCTTTGAATTCATAAGTTGTATTATTTTTATTTTTTAGATTTCACTTGTTAGGTTTTTTGAGGTTGTTTGTTGGTAATGGATATTTTAGTTTAAGCTAGATAGCCACCATCTAAATGTTGGCTAAATTGGCAATCATTCAGTTAGCATGTATCTTGATGATTTTAGAATTGTGGAGAAAGTAGTATAAAGGATAGCATTATTGTTAGTCATTCAAGATAGCACTTCAATCTTCACAAACAATAACAATGAACCAAACAAACAATAGTTAATAGATTACTTGGGCATTTAGGTAACTCTACTTTCTTACATGATATTTGATATTTAGATACATCGTATAGTAGTGAACCAAGTAGCCCTTAATCCATTTCTATTACCTCATGCTGAATCCATCTTGGTTCTCTAGATGTCGTTAAAGGAAAATTTAATGGTTTTTGGCATTTGTCCATTATAGAGAAGAGTGACAATTTTTTTTATTAAGGGGCTGTTTGGTTGCTGAAAAAAGAATGCAAACTATTTCAAATTAAGGGATTTCAAAATTTTTGGGTGTTTGGTTTGATGAAAAATGAATATAGTGTGAAGTTTTAGGTAATTTTTTTTTCACTCTATATTTCATTTATGATGGATTCTAACTCGCCCATTTTATGCTGAATTTCTTTTTCACCTCAAGCTGGCTGGGTTGTTGTCGCTAGCCACTCAATGCCTACTGTTGATTGTTGTTGCTGCCCATTGGCCTCCGCCAATGTCGCCGCCACACCATTGATTGCCGTTGCCACCGACCATTGCTAATGTCTGCCGCAACCACCACTGCTAGTCATTAACCATCATGATCATTTGACTTTTTGCATTGTATTAATTTTACTTCAAGCTAAAAAAAAAAAATCACATGCATTCCTTTTATACTCATCCATACAACTTCAAACATTCAAATATACTACATTCCTTTCACCATTCATTCGTTTTTTTTTTCCAGCAAACCAAACCGCCCCTAAGAATATCTCATAATAAATTTAAAAATCAAATGCTTTTTGATAACCTTTCATATATTGTGGGGATTTAACTGTGTAGCAGCTCTTGAATATATTTCTATTCCTCGTGGTCAATCTGGCTGTGGTTCTTCTAGGTGCTGTGAAAGCGGAAGTTACTGGTTTTTGGCATTTGTCCTTATAAAGAAGATGTTCTGATTAGGACGAATCATATCATGAATCTAAAGACCAAATGCTATTTTATAACATTTTATACACGCCTGAGGATTTAACTGTGCGAAAACAGTTTGAATTATCTTTGCTGTCACTATATTTCATAACAGTTTTCTTTTACACGAGCATGCGGAAACTCTTTTGGAGCTTAAATCCTGTGTGTTAAAAGAATTTGTTGAATCCATGTTTGAATGGCATGTTATTTACCAGCTGGATTGAACAATTTGATTTAGCTTTCTCATTCCATAAACCATAGGAGATGGAGACATGTTCATATTATTCAGAATCGTCGTGTAGCACTGCAAATTTCAAGGTGTCAGCGTACTGTCTGAAATATTTTAACAATTTCATTCTGGCCTTCAATTTTTTTTTGGCCAATGTTCCTTCCCATTTAAAAGCCAGATGTGGAGTTCTTGTTTTGCAGCTGACATCTTTAGCTCTGAAGAGTTTTCCGCCAATACTTTTATTTTCAGCATATATCTTCCTGCAGTTTGTATTCAAATTCTCAATTATTTGTGCCTTGGAAGCAGTAATGTTGGTCACTTCTGCTTGATTTTTCTCTCTCCTGGAAATGTATAGTGCAGAAAAACTCAGACCTGAAAAGGAGCTTGAGCGTGCTAAATCTGAAATTTTACGGTGTAAATTGAAGATACGGGAGATATTTAAGCACCTTGAGTCTTTGCTTGCTGAAGGAAGGCTTCAGGAATCATTATTTGATCCTGATGGAATTGACAGTGAAGATGTAGGTGAACCTAATGATTACTATTTTAAGTTTAGTTATTCTTATCTGACTTCATTTATTAAGAGTTTTTGAGAGGTCATAATTCATATTTCTCCATAATTTTGTAGATATTCTGCGGTAAGTGTGGTTCCAAGGAAGTGTCAGCTGACAATGATATCATTCTCTGTGATGGTGTATGTGAACGTGGTTTTCATCAGAAGTGTTTGAATCCTCCTCTGTTGAGTGAAGATAGTATCACCTGAGCCTCCAAAATATCATTCTGGTTTTACTTTCATCATTTATGTTGTAGACTGATCTTCAACTAACTTGTCATCTTCTTATTCTTATTCTTAGTTCCTACTGGAGATGAAGGATGGTTGTGCCCTCAATGTGATTGCAAAGTAGAGTGCATTGATTTGCTTAGTGAGTTTCGAGGAACTGATCTATCAATTGAGGACTCATGGGAAGTAAGCATTACATTGTTGTTGACGATTCTCTATTTTAAATCACACGGCACAACATAGTTTTTCCAGAGTTTCAAAAGAGAATTCCAACTTACATTTGTGCAGAGAATTTTTCCTGAGGCAGCAGTTTTGGCAAATGGAAATGGCCAGTATGATGACCTCAATCTTCCATCGGATGACTCTGAGGATGATGATTATAAACCTGAAGCTCAAGTAGTTGAAGTAGATGACCAAGAGGAAGAATCGGGTGAATCAGATTCAAGTTCCTCATCTTATGATTCTACATCATCAGATGATAATAGGAACCAAGCTACTGTTGAATTACCTTCGGATGATTCTGAAGATGATGACTACGATCCTGATGCTGTAGATCCAGACAAAGAAATTCAAAAGAGCAAATCCAGCTCAGACGAATCTGATTTTACTTCTGATTCCGACGAATTTTGTGCTGAACTCAAGAAAATCTCATATGCTGAAGAAGCTTCTTCATGTTCTCAACCAAATTTGGAATTTTTTGTTGATTCTGGTAGAGATGAAATGAAGGATAAAGATAAGATATATGACTATTATGAGGTACCTTCTGCTATGCTAGATATAGACAAACAAGAAAGTGGGTTAAGTTTGTCAAATAAAAGGGGCCGTGAAAGGTTAGATTACAAGAAGCTATATGATGTAAGGCTCCCTCCTTTTTATGTGCCCTTATTATATCTGTATCTTTGTAGAAAAGCAAGAAAAAGAAAGATCTGATTATTGCTTTGTGTAGAATTGTTTATTGTTATAAAAAGGAGTGTATCTAGTGCATGGGGGTCTCTTCAGTGTAGAGTCTGGTAACTAATTGACTTACTAATGAGGGTATTTAAGTGGATTTCTTGCGGGGATTAGCTTCCTTCCATTGCTCTTTGTTTTGTTCTTTTTTTTTTTTTAAGGATGGATGTATTATGTGTTCTCTAACTTCTGTTCATTCTTAGAGCTTGGCAATAGAATGTGGTTTTCCTCAAATTGCTTTCCTCCTTTTCTTTGGGCTAAGCTTGTACTGTTTTACTAAAGCTATGTCAAAATTTGAACCTTTGTTTACCAATCACTGCCTACCTTGTGTGCTTCATATTTGTAAAAAATAACATTACATCTTCCTTCTGATTTCGTGAAATCCTTCCCATAACATTTCATTGGGAGAAGAATATTCATTGCAAGATGGTTCAAGTTGATCATAATCTGTAAATTTTTTAATCCGTTTAGTCTCTTTCAAATATTCATGTTCAGTGTTTTTTTGGATATCTTGATGATCTTCAACTAAGAACAGTGGTTGCTTTTTACTAAAATATGTTTTTTTTTCCTCTCTGAATTTTGCATTGTTTTATGTTTAATTTACTACATAAAATATCTGAAAGTTTTGTTGCCAACGTGCTCTTATTGAAATTAACAGTTGTATGATTTCCTTAATTCATAGGAAGCATATGGTAAATCATCCTCTGATTCTAGTGACGATGAAGATTGGACTGAAATGAGTTCACCAAAGAAGCTGAAGAAAACTGATGATCAAGGAATTGAGGTATTATGCAATTCTAGTTCTGACATAATACAACATCTGGAAAGCTCCAGCATTGATAGGGTACAGTCTAGAAACTTGTATAGCTATTAAATCTGACTTGGATCAACCACAATTTCTCAGGTTGCCAATGATGTTTTTGTAAAGGTAACTCCAAAATTGCCTAAAAAAATCGCAAGTTCTTCTGCAGTTGAGAAAGATCATGGTCCTCAAGAACCCGGTTCTAGTGGCTGTAGTTCTGCTACTGTTCTTAGAAATTCTGAAGTTGCTTCTAAGGTAATGGCGGCTTGAATTCTGTTTTGTTTTCCCTCTTCCCAATTTTGTTATGCTAATGAAGCCAATATGTTGGAGTTGCGGAATTGTTAGAATGCATATGTCATCTTTGTGGGAATATGTTTCAGATTTACTTAATAAAAGGATTTTTTTTTTTATTGCTAGTTTAGCTAATGTATTTCATTTGGAACATTCAAATTTTAAGAACCTTTTTACAACACTCTGTGCCAAACCCCTTGGAGTATTTTGTTCACCTTTTTGGACTCCAAAAATTCGCTCCCCAGCTTTGCTGAATGAGTTTAGGGGTTTTCGGATCAAAATTTCAGAAGACATTATATCTTAGTCTTAAGATAAGGTACTCAGATATTTTTCCATCCAAATTAGAGCATATAGAAATAGATAATGGAGACATATTTAATGGAGTTAGAAAGATTAAAACCATAAACAATTTCAAATGGTGAAATCTTAGTAGCAGAATGACCATAAATAATTATTATAAATAAATTTAACATGTGTTGAACATTCCTTCCAAGTGATGATATATTTCTTAATGATGGCTCGTAGTAAAGTGGATAAAGTTCTATTAATAACCATTGTCAGACCATATATATGTGTATTACAAATAGAAGAAAATAATAACCCAGTTTCTAAGGCTAGAATGATATTGTCCAACCTTGATTAATATTTTCTTTGACCCTCATATAGTTTGCTTAATCTCATGTAGCTTGAATTAGCCCATATAGTTGATGCACGCTAAAATTTGGGAAAAAACCCAAATTTTTGCTAGCAAAAACAAAGCTTTCCTAGGTAATAGAAAATACATGAAATACTCAAAAAGATACAAAATACGACAATTGAACCAAAAAAACAACTTCACTTTATAATATAAAAGACTTACAAACTTTGACGCTTACAAATGACAAAATAAAGACACAACGACTTTCCTAAAACTGCTTTTCATCCGTTGAGAAGAAGGATACATGTGGAGTGGTCACTTGCGGCGAGAAGGAGATTAGAAGTCAGAGACGAAGGATAGGAGAACAAGCTCGCAAGCTTTCCCAGGAAGGAGAGAAAGAAGTGGCATAGCTCGCAAGCTATCCAAGAGAACCCTCAAGTTTCTTTTTCCAAAAATCAGCACACAACAACCCTTTTCCAACTCAAAACATCTCTATTATATAGGCAAAAGGAAGAAGCTAAACAGCTAGAGCACCTCCAACCAAATCGAATTAGATTTGGGGAAGTGAAAGGCCAAAAGACACCACAACATCCCACAAAAATTGCACTGAAAACAGGGAGAAAAAGCTACGGGAAACCCAGCCAGCAAGCCACGGGAAGCCCAGCTAGCAAGGGACCCAAGGAGCCAACATAGGAAACGGGGCAGAGACTCATGGGAAAACAGCTAGGGGAAAACCGAGAGGGAGAAGTCACAGGATCAGTAACAACCAGGAGAAAATCAAGAAGACAAGGGGAAGGGAAGAGACATAGGGAGAGGGGAACAAGTGGAGGAAATCAAAGGGCCAAAAGCTAGGGGGAATGCACCAAATAAATCTTCAATTAATTTCAGATTTATGAGCTGAAAGAGTAGAGATTAAAAACCCAACTTGTTTTGACCCCCCCTTGCCTACAACAAATTCTCCTTTGGTTGAAAGAATTCATCCCCTGATGAAGCTTGAGTTTGCTTTGAATCTTGTCCTGAGGCTTCCAAAGGCTGATTGCATGGACTATGACTCATGACTAAAAAAAACAAAACTCACATGACACCAAGACTAATACAACAACTTGACTCAATGACCTAGGATATACAAACTTGCTCTGATACCAATTTGATGCAGGCAAAAATTTGGGAAAAGCCCCAAATTTTTGCAAGCAAAATAAGGACCTTCCTAGCAAATAGAAATTATACAAAAGAACACAAAATACAACTTTTTATAAGAAAAGATGACTCTTACAAACTTATAACATTAAAACAAACATCTTACAACTCTCGATAAACATAAAACATAAAACAACACCTAAAAGAGCTTTGCCAAACGTCGAGAAGAATGATACATGTGGGGTGGTCACTTGCGGATAGAAGAAAGAGGTTAGAAGACTAGACGAAGTAGAGGAGTAACTCGCAAGTTATCCCAAGAAAGAGAGGATTAAGTGGAACAAGCTCTCAAACTTTTCCAAAAAAAACCTTCGGTTTTTCCATTCCAAAAATCAGCATACATCACTCTTTTTTTGACAGAAAACACCACATATTTATAGGAGAGAAATGGGAGACATACAGCCACTTGAAACCAATAATTAAGGGGAAGAGGAAGGCCAAAAGACACCACAAACAACCCACAAAAAAATTTGCACAGAAAACAGGAAATGAAAGGCCAAGGGTCAGCCATAAAGCACCCTAAAAATCCTCCCAGAAACAGGTTAATATTCACAGGGCAACAGCTAGAAACAGAACCGGCAAACAGAGAAGATCCAACGGGCAGCAGGAAACAGAACCGACAAACATATAATCCCAACGGGCAACCAGGTAACAGAGAGCAAACGACACAGCAAGGGGAATGAACAACATTTCGGAAATAGCATCAGAGGAGAAGAAATCGAAGGGGTAAAAAGAAGGGAAAAAGACACAAGTCCACTCCACAATAATGAGAATACCTTTTTGATTTTATGAGCTAGGAAGTGAATTTACTCCACCAATTAATGAGCTAAACTTCAGCTCAAGCATTAATGAGCTAACACCAAGTAGAACCCTCATTTTAAGCTCAACACCAAGCAACCAAGGCCCAACCCGAGAGCAGCAAACAACTCCAAACCGAGAACAGCAAGCAGCCCAAGGACAAGAGGATCAAGATGATTTGACCCCCCCCCCCCCCCCCCCTACCCCCCCCCCCTCCCCTATTTGTCTACATCAATTCTCCTCTTGTTGAAAATGTTCATCTCCCGATGAGTTGACTTCAAAATTTTGGAGATCCGGCATTTCAGACTCTTGGATTAGAATGTCATACTTTCATTTGGTAACTTCCATTTCTCGTTCAAATTCTGCTAGAAGTGAACGCCTCTTAGACTCGAATCTTTCGTCACATAATTGCAGTTGTTCTTGAATCTTTAAAAGCCCAAACTGTAGAGGATCTGAAGAATCTTCATGATGAGGCATACATTTTATTGTTGGAAGCTTGTCCACTGGATTACTTGGCTGTTTTTTATTTTCCATATTTAAACACCTAAAACAAAAACACAAAAAGAGAGACCTAGGAAGACACAAACCTAAGCTCTGATACCAATTTGATGCAAAAGCAAAATAAAAGCTTTCCTAGGTAATGGAAAATACACGAAGTACCCAAAAAGATACAAAATACGACAATTGAACCAAAAAAATAACTTCACTTTATAATTTAAAAGACTTACAAATTTTGACGCCTACAAACGACAAAATAAAGACACAACGACTTTCCTAAAACTGCTTTCCATCCGTTGAGAAGAAGGATACATGTGGGCGATCACTTGCGGCGAGAAGGAGGTTAGAAGTCAGAGACGAAGGATAGGAGGACAAGCTCGCAAGCTTTCCCAAGAAGGAGAGGAAGAAGTGGCATAGTTCGCAAGCTATCCAAGAAAACTCTCAGGTTTCTTTTTCCAAAAATCGGCACACAATAAACCTTTTCCAACTCAAAACATCTCTATTATATAGGCAAAAGGAAGAGCTAAACAGCCACAACACCTCCAATCAAATCCAATCAGATTTGGGGAAATGAAAGGCCAAAAGACACGAAAACATCCCACAAAAACTGCACAGAAAAAAAGGGAGAAAAAGCCACGGGAAGCCCAGCCAGCAAGGGACCCGAGGAGCCAGCACAGGAAACGGGGCAGATATTCACGGGAAAACAACCAGGGGAAAACCGAGAGGGAGAAGTCACGGGATCAGCAACAGTCAGGAGAAAACCGAGAAGACAAGGGGAAGGGAAGAGACATAGGGAGAGGGGGAAGTAACCAAGGGGAGGAAATCAAAGGGCCAAAAGCTAGGGGGAATGCACCAAATAAATCTTCAATTAATTTCATATTTATGAGCTGAAAGAGTAGAGATTAAGCATTTAAGAGCTGATTTTAGAAGGTCACCAAAAATTAAAAACCCAACTTGTTTTGACCCCCCCTGCCTACATCAATAGTGCAGGTTTCGTTGAATTAGGAAGTTGAATTAGATATGAACATGCCTCAGCTTCCATATTTGGCTGCATATTAGTTTTGTTGCCATCCTAAGATCTCGTATGCGGCCATACGCGTGAAGTTATGATGAGAGAATAACGACGATTGAACGATAGGATTTGACATTGTGTGTCTCAAGGGGTAAGAGGTCCAACAAATCTTGGAATCTTGGATTTTTTATTCAATGGAAAATAAGGAATAGGAATTTTTAAAATTTAATATGATGATGATTGATTTTATGTACATATTTGGGAGGATTGTTACTTGATTTCAACAAATTTAAAAGAGGAGATAACAAACCTCAATATTTTTCTTGTTGATCCACATGTGAAATTTTGATCAATTGCTACCAATTGCGATTATGATGCTCCTCTAACAATGCGGCATGTTCAAATTATTTGGTTGAAGATGGTATTGTTGACTACTAGCAATGGCGACATCTGGCCTATTTTGGGTCATGTAGGCTTGACCAAGGAAAAGGCCTGTCCAATTATAGGATTTTGATGTCTAGATAGGTATGAGCCTAGATGTTAATTATCTCCAAAACAGTGCCAAAATTATAAATAAAGCCCTTAATCATTCCTTTGGGGAGATTGTGATGTAAGCCTATAGGATCTTTATGGAAAATAGAACAACTTGATTATATATTCCCATAGGGTGGTGGTGAAATGCTTATTTAGGGTTTGGACATAAGTTATGCTTTGAGAAATATGAAGATGAACTCTTGAGATGTTAGGAAAATTAATGATGATATTTTTTATGAATTTTGGATTAGTGATTAAAGAGTTATAATATTTTTAATCCGATTGCTCGTATTAGGAAGTTGCATCTCTATATTGGGCTTTTGTTTATCTTAAGGTTGTTTAGTAGCCGAGGTGATGCAATCTAAAAAACACTAGAATTGCAAATTAAAGACTTCCTTTCAAAAAAACTTAAACAAACACCGATAGAATATAACAACACACCACTTCAAACTCACATTAAACAAAACATAACAACACCTTACAACTTATAATAAAACAGGACACAAAAATACTTCAACTTTCAATAAAACATGATACAACAATACCTTATGAGTTATGACTAATCAAAGTTTCGAGAAGAAAGATACAGGTGGAATGGGAACCCTGGAGAGAAGAATAGATGAAGTTCGAGACGAATTATAAGAAGAAAGGTAGAAGAGGATAGCTCTCAAGGTATGACAAACTTGAAGGTTTTACATTCCAAATATTCATCACATATCTCTCCGAACTCTAATGAAAATCAGCCACCTTATATAGGAGAAGATGGAGAAAAAAGATATAAATGCTCTCCTTAATGAGCCACTCAAAATAGCCAATAGAATAATCCAAAACAGCCCACATAATGTTAAATTAAAACACTTTAGCATAGGAATCAACAAGGAATAGTACACGAATAGCTAGCATAGGAAAAAAAATGGAACCAATACGGGGAAGACCAACAACCAATCATAGGAAGACCAAACAACCATATAGGGAAGACCAAACATCCACAATATGGGAAAATCGAAAGGCTAATAGTAGGAAAACTAAAAGCCAACTGGGAAAATATAGAATCATAAAGGGAAACTGAGAAGTCATGCAAGAAAGATAATAAATGGCAAGTATTGATTGCATCAATTCTCCCTTGATGGAAGAATCCCATCTCCTGATGAGAATGCCTCGGTAGAAATTGCTTGAAGTGGAACCCATTCTGTTGATGGAAAGTTATGGAGAAATTGGTTTAGTTCATCTGGTTGAATGAAAGAGCTTCCTTGATGTTCCGAATGCATTCTTTCTGATGACAGATCTTCCTCTTGAATTGGAACTTTGGCTTGTTGATTGATTTGATTGTCCATATATTTTTAATTTTATTTATTTATTATTATTATTTTTAATAATAGAAGAATGAGAAAACTCACACGACAACCTAAGCTCTGATATTAAATTGATACAATCTAAAAAATACTAGAATTGCAAACTGAAGATTTCCTTTCAAAATAACTTAAACAAACACTGATAAAATATAACAACACACCACTTCAAACTCACAATAAACAGGACATAACAACAACGTACTACTTACAATAAAATAGGACATAATAACATTTCAATTTTCAACTTTCAATAAATCAGGATACAACAATACCTTATAACTAATCAAAGTTTTGAGAAGAAAGATACAAGTGGAATGGGAACCGTGGAGAAAAGAATAGATAGAAGTCAGAAATGAAATATAAGAAGAAAGGTAGAAGAGGATAGCTCGCAAGCTAGGTTTCACATTCCAAATATTCATCACATATCTCTATCCAAACTCTAAAGGAAATTAGCCACCTTATATAGGAGCATATGGAGAAAAAAGAAAAAAAAAAGGTACAAATGCTCTCCTTAATGAGCCACTCAAATCAGCCAGTAGAATAAACCCAAAATAGCTCACTTAATGAGAAATTAAAACACTTTAGCATAGGAATCAACAAGGAACAATATACGAACAACCAACATATGGAAAAACGCAACCAACATGGGGAAGACCAATAACCAATCATGGGAAGACCAAACATCCACAATATGGGAAAACCCGAAGGCTCACAGCAGGAAAACTAAAAGCCAACATGGAAAACGAGGAATCAAAAAGAGAAACTGAGAAGTCATGCAAGGAAGCTAATAAATGGCAAGTATTGATTGCATCATGAGCCCTTAGGAGTTATGAGGGATATGTGGGAGTATTTTAAAAATTTTTAAAAAGATTGAATGCGTTTTCGAATTGAGGGAAGCTAGGCTTGAGGTTTTGTAGAGGAGATAGTAATTGTATTGGGAACAAGGAATAAGGATGAGAAAAGATAAATAAAGTCATACAAAAATCATAGGGGATTAGCCACCAAGCGTCAAGGTGCAGTAGAGTAGCCAAGTCTTTTCACATGAAATGCACTAGCAAAACTAACTTTTATTCAATGAATTACAAATTACCAAGAAAAATCCTATTAATAGGTTTTTTTCAAGCCTAGATAATTTTAGAAAAGCCTTAGGAGCCAATAAAATATAATTAATTATATGGATATATGACTTATCCTAATACAAAAAGAAAGAAAAATAAGAGATAAAATAAAACTTAAAGCTTCTAAAAACATAAAATTTTGGATTGGTCGAATAAGGTTGGTAGAGTGGTCTTAAATCAAGCAATTTATGAAGATTTTTGTTTCTTTAACTAGTATGGCCTACGTACCCATTAAAGAACCTTAAATTAAGCTTCTTATTTATTCTCCCATAATTTTAAAGAGATTATGAGTTGTCCATGGGTTTGTTCTTGGCATATTGTATGTTGGTCGAAACAAATGGTATGTTCTTGGCAATTCACTTGCTCTGGATGATAGTTGTGAAGGCATTCCCGTTTCAGAAGTTTTTGAGTCTTTATATACTTTTAGGCAGGCGTGGACTGATTTCATCTGTTTTTTTCTACATATGGGATTTGATGGTTGGTTAGAAAATTTTCTTTTTTATTATTTTTGCCTTCGTCCATCTGTGAAGCTTGCTGGGAAATTAGTCGAATTGTTTACACCAACTTAGTTCTTATTTTTTCTGTTTAATGACTATTTCTCCAACTATTCCATTTTCCCCAGTTTCTTAATTGTTGGATGTAGTCTTACAATTGTATTTTCTCAAATCTTTCATAACTTAGAATTCCCTTGTTGTACGGAAATTTAGTACTTAGTATTTTCATGCTCTCATGGTAATGTTGTATCATGAGGAATCAAATCTCTTTTCTTACACACCTTTATCCTCACTCGAAAATGCATTATTGGTAATTATTAATTAATAATTCTCTGTAAAATGGCTTACTTCTGAATGCTTTCTGAATGTTGTATCATGAGGAATTAAATCGTTTTTAGTATTATGAAGGAAGTTCTAAAATTTTCTTTTTTCTTTCACCTATTTATTGAATGTGTTCGAGTTGTCCTTGTGTAGTGCTTGCATTTAATACCCTAGACAATGATACATGTTACATTACCTTTTCTTTTTCTGTTTCCTGCGTAAGACATGCCATTTTGCAAACTACTTTTTAGGTTTTTATCCACTTTATTAACTGATTTCAACAATCTTCTTTGGTAGAAATTATCGGAGTACTTAAAAAAAAACCAGTACCCAACAAAGAAAGAGAAGGAAAGTCTTGCTCAAGAACTCAGCATGACATACAAGCAGGTCTCAGTCTGGTGATTCTTACATGTCATAACTTCTAATAGATCCCCAGAAAAATGAACCTTCATAAGTTGTGTAGGTTACCAAGTGGTTTGACAATGCACGGCATAGTTCCCGTGTTTCTTCCAAGCAATTGAGCAAGATTTGTACGGCGACTTCCAAGGAAGTTTCTGTTCACTGTGATACTCCGGCAAGCCATTCTGAGCCTGACAAAGGAGCCGCAGCAAAATCACCTTTATCATCCAAGCTGTTTAAAGCCACTTACAAAAAGGTTTGAATTCATTTTTCTTTTGACAGAATATGTCATTGTCTTCAAAGTCTTAGCTGAAGATATTCTTGTTATTGAAATGATGAGGTTTGCACGTTAATACAATGACATGCTCAACAGCGAGAAAACTAACTATTAATCAGATATTAATATAAAGTTTTACTGTTAACCATTGCAAACTTTTATATTTGTTTATATATCAACTAATTCTTAATAACTGTAAGTATGCTACCTTTTTTTTAAATCCTTACTAATATATCACCCTAGCTAAATGATGAGTATAGTAAAAAATGTTTCATTAGTATAAAATAATATTTTATTCATTGATTAAAAAAAATGCTAAAATCATATAATTTTATCATTTTACTTTATGGGGTTGTTTGGTTGGATGAAAAGTAAATGCAAAGCATAGTGAATGTTTTGCTTTTTCACTTTTTGGTGTGTGGTTGGACACCAAGTAAAGTAAATCAAATTCCTAATGTATTGGAAAATCCCTGCTTCACTTCATTTTTCATGTAAAGTAAACCCCCTCAAAATCGAGTGAAAAAGGAATTCACCTGGCTGAGAGAGAGCAGCCTGCGGGAAGAAATCTTCATTTCTTCCTAATGCAGCAGAACCATCTTTGAACATCTTCATTACTTCCTCCAGCTTGGCGTGAGGTAGAGTTCTGCACCAGTTGATTCTTCGACTCATTCGTTGTTACTTGGCATCACTTCGATGACGTTTCCTTCCTGTCGGATCGGAAGGAACAACATCTTCGAAGGCGTCTAGGGTTTGTTTTTCATCTTCTCTATTTCTCCATTGCCATTCAACTTATTTGCTTGGCGTGAGGAGTAGATTCTTCGGCTCCATCGTTGTTGTTCGATTTCGCAGCAACTTCCTTCGACAACGTTCCTTTCCTGTCCGATCATAAGTGAAGTCATTTTGATCGGAGAGGGGTTGGCGATGCAATTCAAGACATTCGACTAGGGAATTGTGTCGATGAAGATACATGCGGATACGATATCATTTGTGGATTTCGGTGGAACTGGAGATGGGCAGACAGGCGTTTAAGGAGGCGATCTATCAAATTGAGCACTTGAATCATCCCGACAGCACGCTTCTCTATGTTACTGCCAGATTCTGGCTCATTGGAGCATTTAATCTCACTACCCAAGGGGGCAATCATTAGGGCCGCATAGGTAATGGATTCTATGCTCAAAGTATAACAAGGTAAGATTTCACTTTACTCTGCATACATCCAACCAAACAAAAAAAATCTTCTGCATTTACTTTACAACAAAATAGTCCAAAAGTATTTAATTTATACTGCATTCACTTTACACTGCATTCACTTTACAACCAACCAAATAGCCCCTATATCAAGTGATAAATCAATTTCAATGGATGAACCTTGGTTTTTTCTTCATACTAATTTATATCAAACAATGATGACTGATGCAGGACTATATGCAAAACAGGAAACTTGCACAAAATAATTAAAGAGCAATTTTGGATTTTCGTTATTAGCGATTAAAACAACAAAATAAAACTAATAAGTGGTCACTTTCGTTTAAGCTAAGCTACTCAAGAGACTAAGCTAAATCAAAACATTTAAGAAAATCAAAGAGTTGCATGCGAAGTAATTTCTAACATAACCTTGGTCTAACCATGAGATCCAAAAGTAAAGAAGTAACAAACCTACGCTTAATAATGAATGGCGATAAGTAAACACAATCTCTTGCTTGAATAATCTGTCTACGAAGTAAGTAGAATGTGAAAGTACACGAGTCAATGAAGAAGATCACCTTCTCGGAGAAGCGTCTTGAGTCACCACGTACCTTCCGATAGTTTCTCCTCCATAGCCTTGGTCAAAACGACTAGTATGTAGTTGTCGGACTTCTCTATGAACCCATCAATGTTTGGATTCAAGTCGAAGGACGGCAAGTTGAGAAGATCCACGAAAGTTTAATCGTCTTACGCAAGGCCGGAATCAAGCTCTGGATTGGCCATTCATCATAAGCAAAGAGAGAGAGAGAGAGAGAGAGAGAGAGAGAGAGAGAGGAGGGAGAGAGATGGAGGAGGGAAGGGAAGGCCGGCGGCTTGTAGTGGGAAAAGGGGAGACAAACAAGGTGGCCGGCGGTGGGCATGGCTTGGGTGGGGCGGGTGGAAGAGCTGATGGAGAAAAGGGCTTGGGTTGGTGGTTAGGTTGAAGTGAGCTTTGGTAGGAGGGGTTATGGGGTGGTGGTTGGTGGTGGGGATGGCCGGCGGTGGAAGTGGAGGAGAAGGGAAGAAGAAAAGAGGAAAAACCAAGAGCCACCGATGGTGACTATTGGGTACGACGGGTGGGCCTCTCCTAGGCTCCACCAAACTCTCAAATTCCTTCTCAAGCTCTCACCTAAGCCTCAAGAATACAATTGCAGGAAATTTCTTTCATTATCATTCATTAACCTCAAAAGAACAAGATGAAGGCTTAAATAGCCTCTTACAATGACATAAACAAAAGGACTCAAATACCCTCAAGGGGTTACATGACTCAATCTCTCAAGCAAGGGTAAAAAGGGAAAATGCTGAAATATAAATACTTCACTAAGGAAACAATAATAAAATTAAAATTACATCGGATAAATCGTGATCGTTGATCTACGGCCACGTATACGGTAGACTTTCCAACTGATGTCCCCATCAATGACACTCTATTTGACTGTTAAAAATATATTTAAATTGGTTAGATTTTAAATATGACCAAAATTTAAACGTTAAAATAGATTTAATTTGTTAAATGTAAACCAAATTCATCCATTAAGATTGATTTATCTTTTGATGTAAAGTTAAGTGAGAATTTTATATGATTCACATAATTTATTATTTTCTATAGGTAAATAACAAAATATTCGTTGATGTTATTAAAAGATGCTTTCATATTAACACCATTTAACTTGAATAATATATTCAAAGGATTTAAAGAAAAGAGTGATATAACAGTAATTATGAAGAATTGAACGCTATACCAATAAAAATTAAAGTTTTTTTATAGTCAGCTATATGTTTATAGCTGTATTAGATCTGTCATAGTCCAATATCCCTTACTTCGATTTGTGGATTACTTGCACAGAAACTTGATGAAGCCTTCCAAGAAAGCCAATATCCGAGCAGGGAAAAGAAGGAAGAGCTGGCTCAAGAACTCGGCATGACATTCCGAAAGGTATCAGTGTCATCTTTCAATGTGCCTGTAAATCATTCACAATATATGAGCGTTGATGATTGGTTTCATCTTTCAATGTGCATGTAAATCATTCAACAATATGAGTGATGAGAATAGGCTTCGTTTGGGACGGTTTTTTTGTTGCTTCTTAAAACAGCTTTGTAGTAGAAAATTAAAATTTTTATACTAAAAACTGCTTCAAGAAGCCACAAGAAAATCGTCCCAAACGAAACCTTAGTTTCATCTTTCGATATTCATGCAACTCTTTCAATAATATATGAGCTTTAATCTGAAGGCTTTTTGTCTACTGCAGCTACACAGGGTTGACCCTCACATCTGTGTAGCTTGTTGCAAGCTAAAAGCCTCCGGATCAATGCTCACAAAATCCTCACATATTTTGTTGAATAATTTACATTCACGTCAAAAGATGTGATGGTCCAAGTTTATTACCGTCCCATACATTAGCATTTATTCTTTTTAGCCTTCAACGTCCTACAAGAATGTGACAGTTCAAGATGACTGACACATTGATTGTCTTTGGCGTTAGCTAATCCTTTTGGTCCACCAAAAATTAGATGTGTGCATGATTTCTATTACCTCATTGATCCAGTCTTGGAAAACCGGATGCAGAATATCGTCCGGAGAACAACTAAAATACGTCACGTCAGCAGTACCGAGCTGCGGTACTAAGTGCAGGGTGACGTGATGCATTTTGATTGATCTTCGGACGGCGTTCGGCATCTGCACGGAATAATTTCACGAGTCTTGGTCGACTAATAGTTCCTGTGAGTTAGTCTTACCACAATATATTAGAGAAGCAAATTGAAGTCCCAATCTTTCAAATTTCCAGGTGAGCAGATGGTTTGAAACTGCACGTCGTCGTTCTCGTAGTAAGGAATCCAGCAATCCCTGCAGAATTCCTGGTAGCCATAAATTTGACATAGATGAGGAAGAAAAAACAACTGGAGCTTCCACTCCAGATACACCTGCAAATGCGAAGCCTGACAACAGAGTATCCCCTCTAGACAAAGTTAGTACCCCTACAAGCAGCACAAGTCCTTGGAGGCATGACCATGAAATAGATCTTGATTCGCCAATTGCAAATGGAGCGGCTTCGAATGCGAAGGAAAAGAAAGCAGCAGTAGACGATCGGCAAAAGGCCATAGCTAAAGAGCTGAGGAGGATGAGGAGAGGTAGATAGCATATTTTCAATGGAGAAGCTTCTTTGCTTCTCTCCTGAAAGTGAAGTGAGTGGAAATGCTGTGGGACTGGTTTTTTGGCCTGTATTATGGGCCTGTTCTGATGTATTTTGCTTGAATATGACTTGGATTCAAGACGGGCAGCCTTGGAGCCCTTCTTGTAGAATGATGAAGATAATTAACATATCTTAGTGGAACTTTGCAATTAGGATATCCTCAAGGCTTCTGCTATTGGAAGTCCTTTGAAGAGTTTTTTTTTTCTTTTCTTTTCTTGTTGTTTGTTATAAATTATTGTTCGGTTGTTTGCACTAATCCAATTTCCTCCTCACCCTTCTGCTATTTCTATTTGTTCCATGTGGTGATTGTCAATATGGATTTCATCAACAGCTGATTAAGGCTTTGTTTGGGACGGCTTTCTTGTTATTTTTTAAAGCAGTTTTTTAGTTAAAAAATATTTTTTTTATTAAAAAACTGTTTTAAGAAGCAGTAAGAAAGCCGTCCCAAATGAAACCTAAAAATATTTCTAGTACTACATATTTTATTTATCATGCATGTTTTTATGGACTAATTCATCAGGAGTTTTGAGCCCTTTTAGGCTTCGTTTGAGACAAGGTTTTTTTATAGCTTTTTAAAGCGGATTTTTAGTAAAAAATTAAAAATTCAATACTAGAAAGCCGTTTTAAGAAGCAGTAAAAAAGTTATCCCAAACGAAACTTTGACACGATTTTCTTGCTGATATTAACAATGAAATCTAATTGATATTTAAAAGCAATGTGGAGAATTTTTTTTTCTCACATTGTCATCTGAAAAGTAAAAGAGGACTAATTAGGTTGGATTTGTGTTGCCTTAGGAATTCTTTTTGTTACTTAGATGTGGAGGAGAGCTACGTGATATCTATAAAGTATTCAATTAATTTTCATGAATAATAGATAGCTCTTTAATGTGAATTGAGAATTGATTGTGACTTGAATATTATTATAATTAAATTAGTTTTTTTTTAATTGTTATTGTTTGCCTACATAACAATATTGATCTCCAATAAAATCTTTTAAGTAATAGTTAAAATTTTCATTACAAATGAAGAATAATTAATTGTAAATTTTAACTTTATTTTATTTTTTTAAATATTTTTGTTATTTTCTTATATGTAGCCATTACAAAAAAGATTGAATAATGAAATTAAGATGTAAGTTACCCTTACACAAACATTCTCTCTCTCTCTCTCTCTCTCTCTCTCTCTCTCTCTCTCTCTCTCT